TTGGCAATGTGTTGCAGATGCTTCAAGGTCAAATGTGTATGGATTTTCATTGAATTTATTTGGGTTGTTCACATGATGAAAGTCTGATGGTATGCATAAATACTGCTGAATCCTGTGCAAAAAAGAGTTAATATGATTTTATTTTATTTTTTCTGTTTTTTTGCTGAATAGGAACCTATGCTGTGCTGTTGGAAGTAAAGTGGATTGCTAACATTTCAGAAAATTGGCAATTCCTACTTTCAATTTGATTGTCTCTACAAATTAGCCTTGATTGCTAAGATAGTTCCTGAATTTCTCTTACAATGATTCACCTGAATATTCTTACTGTATTTTCTTTGTTTCAGAATTCAACAGTTTATGTAATACTTTAGATTTAAATTCCGAATTGCACTATGGAAAGCTTATTTTCATAGGATATTGGTTCCTTTCTGTCTGTTTTTCTATTCCTACCTTTGTTTAGCTTAGTGAATACAATTGCTTTCCTGGTGATCTCTCTCTCTCTCTCTTTTTTTTTTTTTTTTTTTTTTTTTTTTGAAAGCTGCGTTTCATGTAGGAAGAAATATCACATCTTAGCTTTTGTTTTGCGGTAGCTATAGCAGGTTTGTTAGGGAGATTCTTTTCTGATCTGGAAAATACAGTTGGTTGGAGGAGGAGAGGAACTAACTGAATGTCTTAAGTTCAGTTGTGAGTAGGCAGCTCTCAGGTAATGACTTCAGATATAGAGTTGTTTTCTGGGTGACTTGTTTTGCTGCTTTCTCTAGATCTTTTTTAAAGGCAATCTGGCCAGCAATTTTGGGGGAAAAAATGTCCAAAATGGAATGAAAAAAAATAATGTTTCTGGTATTTAAATGCCTCTGATTACCAGGCTGGTCCTTCTAGGCTTCTGAACTAGTCCGTGATTCTGAACTATGGGGACTGCTAGAGATGACTCTGAAAGTTGCTGGAGATGGTATCAGTGAAAGGCCAATCCTGATGCCTTCAGGGAAGGAGATGCAGATAACGCTGCCAGACTTCCAGAGGCAGCTCAGGACCTGACACTGTTCCCATGCTCAGCATATTGGACACGGCTTTATCGGGGCAAAACTGAAAATGAGCAAACGTATGGGTGAAGCTTTCATAGTATTTAGATACAAAGTGTTATGATTTGTCTTAACAGCTGTTTTCAGAAAAAAGTAACCTTTGAGGTGGTGCTTGGGTATGAAACCAGGACGTAGCTAGGTGGAAGAACCAAAATAGTCCTGTCAGCTTAAGACACACAGTGTATGTAGTGTAATCAGTCCTGACATGGGTATTTGGACTTCAAAGGGGAAAATACTGTCCTTGATGGTGCTTTTCCCTGGACAGAGTTGGTAACTTGCTGAATTGATGTCTTCCTTTATGGACTTTTTTCCTGTTACTGCACTGTTGGCAGAATTAATACATTTGCATGAGTGTGTTTAAATTCTCTGTGAAGAACAACACTGTTGTCTTAACATGTACTGTTAATTGCAGTTTGTTTTTAACAACTTAAAGCATTATCTATCGCCTCTCTTTTCACTAAATACTTTCAGATCCTTTCAGGGAAACTGCTTGAATGTTGAAAAACCAAGTTGTTTCTTGAGCAGTGGGGTTAAATGCAGCTTATGTCCCGTATCCCCTGTGCTATCTCTGCTGTTATAACCTTGCCTGGCACAACTGAAGTAGCAAAGCTCTGCCTACCTCCTGTCAGCCTGTGTGCAATATGCTCTCTGACATGAGGAAGCTGGGACTACTGCTGTATCTCGTGGGCTGGGAGACCACAGACTCTTACCACTTCCCTACCAGCTGAGAAACAACGTGCTGTGCTGATAGCTTGATGGGTAGATGTGCTCTCCGCCTGGCTACTGCGAAACGCTGCAAAACAAGTGGGGTTTTCCTGCCCTCTGATGTTCAAGGCAGTTGTCATTTCCTTCCCTTATGCTGTCTCCAGGCTTTCTAAAACTCATACGAACACCTTGTTTTTCTTGTTTTCTTTCTTAAGCTGACTTAAAACTGGTTAGTGAGTTAAGTCATGAGGGAGAATCAGCAGTTTCACATTTGCTGATCAGCCATTCTTTAGGGAAGGGGTTAAGAATTGTCTTGTGCAGTTTTAGATCACTTGCCCCTCTGTACTAAGTCCTACGTAAGGCTTTACAAAAACATCTAAAGTCACGACTGAGGTTGTTGAAATAGAAATGTAGGCTTTAAATCTGAACCATTTTAATGGGATCTAAAGTACCTGTTATTTTGGTTCAAAACTCTTTAATATATTACTTGAGTATTCTTTTGTGCCAGTGCTATATTTTGCTTTACTGTGTAGCATATTTACCTACCATGATGTAGTCATTCCTTAGAAAAAAGGGACAGCCTGTTGCTTAGTTGATTTCCTCACTAGCATGCAAATAGAACATTCTTTAGGCTATAGTGATAAATTGCATAATTCACAATATTCTTTCTGCTTAATTTAAGTAGCAAGTTTTGTTTTGCTGTTGGGTTTGAGCAGTGCTGGAGAATTGGGAAATACATTTATCCTGTTTCAGTTTGAGGAATGAGTGTCCACATTCATAAAGCACAAAGTCTGTATTTTCTGTGTCCTAGGAAATCGTAGCCAGGCTTCCCGCTGAAGAAGCTCTGATGTTGCTGCTTTGGCTGCCTGCCGGATCTGTTGTGTCGCTTTAGAGCGTGTGAGTGTGTGTGGAGGGCAGCGAGTGTCTTCTCTTCCTTTTTCCCCTTCTCTCTCCCTACTGGAATTGAATGTATCCTCCAGACAAAAAGCAGAAAATGAACTTAAGTGATTGACATTTGTGAGCAAGGAGAAACTGGGTCAGTCCCAAGCTCACGTTGTGTGTGTGTGTGTGTGTGTGTGTAATATCTGGGAGAAGGGATGGAGGGAAGTAGCCTGCTAATGTTCCTTTGCGTGATGTAAGATGTTTTGATGGATTTGAGGTCATCTAGCGTAACCTCCAGCGACAAAACATTACTGATGAGCAATACAGAATGTTCTCTACAGTGAGTTATTAGGAATTTATATTCTTATGCTGGAGTGCTGTCGTAAGTGTTGGAGCACCTCTTCAGTAGCATGGGTGTGCTGACTGCCAAGCGCTGTGTCTTTCTGTGCAGCTGAACACAAAAACAGAGGACCCTGTTCGTCTCTAGACTTTTAATCTGATGGATGATAGAGGCAATTATATTGAGAAACTTGGAGTAAGGCTTCATCTACAGAGTGATGACTTGGGAATTTTCACCAGTTCTGAAAATAAGAACAGTTACTAGCCTAGGCACTTGTAGCTATTTTTTTGTTGAGGCTTGATTAACTTTTGGTAACAATTATCTCTTCAAATGTGAACAGAATAGATTGATTCTTATAGATTGATTCATCTGGTTTGGTGCAATGAGTAACTCATCAGTTGAGAAGCAGGAAGTATTTCTGTCTTTTGTTTTCCTTTAATCTATTAATAAAGGTTATGTTAGTGCATCAGACTGCTGACTGTTGATAAAGAGATTTTTTTTCTCATTACAGTTAGAACAATCCAAGCCTTCCTTGTCAATGGTAGCAGTCACTTGATTTAATCTTTCTGTCAAACTGTTCTACTGAGCTGAGGCCTGTAGAACTAAAGCAAATGCCGCTTTAGTTTAGAGCTGTAGCTCTTCAGTTCTACTGGTTCGTGTGTTTACCAGCCTGTGTAACTGAGAAGTGATGAGAGTATTGAATTCGTGTGCTGCTGGTGGTACATGTTTTGAAAGCAGGAACTCTTGGTGTGTGGGTTATGTTTTTTGTTTGTTTGTTTTTTAAGCTGGATGCTGTAGATGCTTAACTTCAACCGCTTGGAAATGTAAGGCTGAATTTTAGCTCCTTGAAAACCTTGTGTGTTCACCTAATACCTTACAGGAGATGCTTATACATACCAGGGATGAGGACTGTGGCATTTCCATTTGGCTTTGGGGGAAAGTCTTTTTTATATCTCAGTCTCGAATTGAAGAAGGATAAATAGTCCTGGGAAGACTATTTCAAAAGATTCTAATTCACCTGCCAGCTCGTCTTCTGAGAAGTGCTTTGATGGCTGAAGCCGTGCTTGTAGATTGGGAGGATGCTTCTTTCAGTCCCATGGGCATTTGGCTCCTGTAGGGCGGTAGAATTTTTTAGTGCTTGATGCGTTTCTCTTGCCAGTCTCCCTTTGAACTATTTCTGCCCTGTCTGCTTCTCTTAGCTCTGTGCTGGGAGCTGGCACAGCTCTGTGTGGGCCAGGACAGTGATTCTGCTCAGTAATTAAGGTGCTGCCTCTGGTGTTCACTGAAAGTGGCCATCCTGCTTGCAGGACTGAAACTGCCTATTCTGCAACTGAAAATCTGTGTAATCCCAGCGTATCAGAAAACATCTTCTGTCAGGAAGCAGATATTCTCCTTGCTTCATGGGCAAGCAACTATCACAAGGACCTTAGTCCATTTGTGACTACTAGATCACACAATTGTATTTCTGTTAAATGTGCTGGTGCACGCAGTCGCTTGCTGGTTTGGGGAGGTCAAACTGCAGCTGATCTGGCTCACAATTAATGTAGACAGACTATCTGTTTTGATCTGCAGCTTGCTGTTTCAAAGCCAACTCATCAAATCCTTTCAGAGTATTTAGAACTAGCAAGATAAACTTATTAAATCACCACTTGGTTTCACATGACTGTGACAGTCTTCCTCTGACATTGAAAGCCCTAGAGTGAAATTTACTATGTTTCATGAAAAGCAAATTCACATACTGGATATATTCCAAATAACTGGATATTTTCAGTAATGAAGTCATAGCGTCTCTCCTGTGTAAAACCTAGATGTTATATTTTTCAAAAATAGCTCTATTTTATGTTAACTTGGGGAAATAATGTCTGCCAGTTAAAGTATATGGAAACTTCCTATTTATATGACACTGTTTAAATTTATTTATAACCTCACCTTTTACTTTTGGTGTTTAAGTTTCTAGCTGTTTTGTAAGATTTCTTTTAAATTTCAAATTGCAGGTCCACGACTAGCTTTGGCAAGACTTCTTTCAGGTGAGTGTCTTGCGTGGACAGATTATATTATCTGATAATTTGTCCCAACAGATTGATACTGGTTTTCTTGGCCTTCAGTTGATGGTAAATTTAATATTGGGCTATGTATCAATCCAATTAAAAAGTCTGAGTCTGTATTTCACTTTCCCTCTTTTATAGTCCCTTAAGTCCCTTTAGTCCCCTGCTTGTTTTTCTCCCTTTGGCCACTTGGTTAATTGCTAATGTTTCTGGAAGACAAATGTTCATTGAAGTAAGTGTGTTCTGTTGAACTGGGAAGTTCCCTAGGATTTAGTGAAGGAGATATACCCTTGTATGGAAAGCAAGAAACCAGGAGTTGGGACAGGTGATTTATGCACCTAGACTTATTTTGAATACAGCCTACAGCAAACTATTAAACTTTTGAATTTTCTATATTAACCTCTGAAACTGCATCAAGAGGATACAGTACTTGGCAAGATTATTGAGGGTGATCATTTTAGAATTGCTTTAAGACTGCAAAGTGAAGGGACTGTAATAATGTCTCACCTCTCTAAGTGTTTTCATGCTCTCAGACACTTGAGCTTGGATCTTTTGTAACTTTAAACCACATTCTAGTCTAGATGGTTTAAAATATTTTTTCTTGCTCTCAGTGGCCAATGTAGGCTAGGGATATGTGTCTGTGGGTAAGGAAGTGTGGCAGTGGTGGCTGCACTGCTTTGTTGCAAACCCTGGAAGTCTTGGGAGAGTCGGTTTTGTTTTGGATGGTGATGTGTCCCTGGCGCTGGCCGTGGTGCTGAGCCCGTGCTGGAGCGGGGGCCTCCCCAGGCCCTTCTCATGGAGGGGCAATGGAGAAGGGTCCTCCCTCAGCAAAGAGGCTTTTGGAGTGACCAAGTCTGAAAAATGAACTGGTGAGCAGGTCACTGGATACATCAGGACTAAACCTGTTCGGTGGGTGAAAGCGCGAGGGAGGTGCCTCGGTTGTCTCCGTGCCCCGGTTGTCTCCGTGGTTCACGTGTTGCTGAGTCTGTGCTGAAGCAGAACAGGCAGCGAAGAGAATGTGCAAAGCGATGAGGATGAGTCTCCTCCAGAGAGGCAAATGGGATGAGTAGCTGTAGTACATGATGTTGTTGGCTCAAGGTTAACAGAGCAGCAGACGTGTTGCTGGCAGCGTTTCCAACGTATGGAAACGTTCATTTTGCAGCATTTTTCAGTGACACTTTTTTTTTCTCAGCAGTAAAATGAAATAGCACTTAGCATTTTTTTTATTCTTTTGAAATAACTACTTCATGAGACATGATATTGTTTCCATTGGGGGAAAAGTATTCAGTTGGTCATTCCAAGTGATGTTTATTTAAAAATATTTTGTGCTTTTTGATACATGTGCATTCTTTCTTGAGGAGTGTCTGTAACACAGGAAGTAATGACACTGACATGTAATTGCCATTTTAAATTCCTATAGTATTAGTACAGGGGCCATCCTTTTATTTGTGCCAGTTGGTATGTAATGTAATTGTAAATAACATAGTAGTAGTATGTGCTGAAGTATAGGAAGACCAAAAATACTCTTCACAATTTTTCCCATGCCCTTAATATCTTAATAGTGCTTCTATGGTGCAGAACATTTTCCTTCACCAGTTTCATGTGCGACTTCCTTAAAACCAAGCAATAAAAAAAGTCAAGAGTTTATTCAGAGTGTTGAATTTTGAGCTGAATTTTGTCATGACTGCAGCCAATATAATGAAAAGCTGTAGTGGGCAGATTATAGTATTTCAATACATATTATTATTAAATCACTACCACAACCTCCAGTGTAACTACCATACCTGAAATGACAATAAGAGTATTTTAAGAAACCTCGCACTTTGCTGATGCTGCATCAAAATGGTAACATGATCTCTAATGGTTTATTCTGGAGGTGAGGTTTTTCTGTGAATTCAAAATTTGAATGGTTTGAATTTAAGCATGAGTTATTTCTTCTAACTTACAGTGCAATTTTCTTTAATTTTCTCTCTTGTTACTTTGGGCAAATGAAGCTTAATGTTTTATTCCCCTAGTCGCAGCTTTTTTTCCCCCTCTTTGGGCTAAATGAAATGATTCAGGCTTTTTTTTTCTGCATTATGACCCAAGCTGTTAAAGACTTCTTATTTTACTGTGCTCTTTAATTGTTAGCTATATACAGACTGAGCAAAGCTCTGCAAATGGATGAGAACGCTCTTGTCTAGGGGTAAATTACGCTGTTGTCAGTAGTAGTCTAGCAGGTCTGCTTGAGTTCTCAGCTATTTTGTGACCGAAATGTTTATTCTGAGTAGGTGGCGTGTTAAGAGGATGTGCCTACTTTTGTTTTTCAAGAAGAGCAGGTCTATGTGTTGAAGAGAAACTTGCACTGCTAATTTTTGGTTTGATGTGGGAATGCGTTTGCAAGAGACACAGATTTTGGTCAGCTACCAAACGAGAAGCCCATCATCAGAGAGTGCAGCCAGTTACTAGTGCTCGTCGTTTGGGAATGGATGATGGCTGGTTTTGCTCTGCCTGTTCAAGCGTGGCTATGCTGTCCAAACACTTGAATGTAACATTTATCTTGATGTGCTTTTAGTTTAGACAAGCATTTCAAACGGTTACAAGAAGTTTTACATACCTGTATTTTAAATTTTCTTGCAGATATGTTTTTCCTAGAATATATAAATAGCAATCCCGTTACCTGCGTCTTTCAAAATCAGGGATGGATATACTTTAAAACAATTATTTCAGCTTTTGTTTCTTAAATTTAAAAAAAGAAGTTCTGTAGATAATCAAGTACAATAATCCCAGTCAAGCTATGAGAATAAAACATGTTAAACCATTCAATTCCACATTGAATGGAAAATTAATGTCCACTGTTCCCAGAAAGATGAATGATGATGGTCTGAGGCAAAGGTGAGACTACTAATGCTAATGGTGACTTGCAGACAGATAACCTGTAATCTGTAAATGAGCTTAAAACTGTTCAGCGTATTTGTGTCGGCAGATTTTCCCTGCTAAGTATTTTGAGGAATCCCGAAATTGCAACTGAGTTATTAGGTTGTGGCATTTGAGAGATGGAACTGATAGAAGAGCTTTGAAGCTTCGTACTTTTTACGATGCTGGTTCTGTCTGGCAGTGTAATGACAGAAAGTGGGCAGTTCTCCTGTAGAAGCAGGTGTGACATGTTTGCAGGTATTGACAGTTTCTTTCAAAGAATATGCTTGTATGGAGGAATTGTGTGAAGAACCAGAAAATGGAGATGGGTTTGTGAATCTGGAAACAATTTAAGAAATAATTTTACAAAAGGTCTCTAAATTAAGCTGGAAAATGTGCAAATGCAGGCCCTGGCATACATGCTAGTTGTAATGGAAATAATGTTCTGAATTTATAGCATCACCTAGGTCTTATTCTGAAAAACTTCTGCTGGGTGTGTGTATATTTAAACTTTGCTTGTGAAGAAAGTGAGCGAGTCATCTTCTCTGCCCTGCAAAAAGCAAAATGGGTAACATGATGATAGCTGCTCTTGGATCCTGTAATTTTCTTCTTTCCAACCTAGAGTTGGACACTGGAACACTCTGCAGATGAAGATTCTCCTTCTTCCTCTTGCATTAAAAACATGACCATGTTTTCAAATACGTGAAAGGAGCAGAAGTAAAGCTGACTATGGTGCTGTCTTTGGACTTGACTTTGAAAATCTGTGCTTGAAGCTTCAGAAAATGCTTTGTTCTGACACTCTCAACATGTATTCTTAGTAATAGGCCCTAAGTTGGAAACTCTACCACTAATTATGTCCGTATTCTTCCTAGTTTAAGTTAATGTAGGCATAGAGGCTCCAGGGGCAGGATCTGAATGCTAGTTTTAGTACACTGAGAAAACGGAAGTGAATGAGACTGCATCAACCAAAAATCTGCCATATAAATTATGTGATGTTTTTATCGGGAAATTTTCACTGTGTCTGTCTAGTAGCATCCTAGACAGGCAGGATTTTTTTTTTTTTAAATCATCCTCAGGAATATACTGTGAGGGGCAAATATTAAGTGTGGACCTACGAGCAGAAATAGTCCCTCAAACAAAACCCTTCTTTCTGCTTGCTTCCTAGAGCTTCGCTGCATCCCAGGGCAGTTTGCTTGTCGGAGTGGTACCATCCAGTGCATCCCTTCAAACTGGCAGTGTGATGGATGGCCCACCTGTGAGGACGAGAGTGATGAAGTGGATTGCCCAGGTAGGTAAAGTTAAGAAGAACATTCATCTCGGAAAGTCGGATTGCTTTGTGTTCATACTTTGTGATTTCTCTTTGTAATACGGCTTCCTTATTTTTACTTGGAAGAGAGGTTTGATAGGTTTGTACCCCTTATTTGTAAGGTTTGAATTAGCATCTCTTTACTTTGTGTGGCTAATGCTACAAGCAGTTTTTTTGCTGTCTGAATTATTTATCTTCTTGCAGTCTGAATGGGTGTTCTGGAGGTGAGGAGAGTTTGTAGTCCAGGAGGGCAACCATGTCATAAAAAAATATGCTGTAATTGAGCCAAAATAGCATCTGGGCCTGCAGTTATTCTGAGTTACTGTTTAATTTTATGAACTCAGGCTGTGTTGAGTGACATGCTTGGACTAGGTAGACAGCTTGTTCCTTAGCTCCTATGCTTGTTGTTTCATGTGCACATGTGGAGAACTTTGATCAGCCAAGCAAACTGGCATGTTTACTTTTACTAAACTCACGTGGTCATATAAGCTTTCAGGAACTTATCACCAAGCAATGGTTCTCTGCTAAACTCGTGCATACTGAGCTATCCTAAATGATTTTTTTGAACACAGTTTCACAAATTTCAACACTTTCATTTGTGGTCTTGAAACCTGGCTAGCACAATTGCCCCTACCAAGTGTTCTAAAATGAAGACAAAGAAAGAACATATATTTTTTTTTTCTGCTGAGGGCTGTGAAGCAGGTATCTGAAAGCATGAATTAGAGTTTATTGTTTCATAATTCTGAATGTGTATCTTTTTGAGGCGACTAAGCAGCACTCGAGCTGTTTGCAAAAGTTCTTTGCTATTATGCTTTCCGATCTGCTTGGTAGAGTCACGTGAACTTCACAATAGTGTCGTGACAACGCTCAGTAATTTTGAGTTATTTCAGTTGCAGAGTGCAAGCAATTCAAGATTGCTTGAATTACAAAATAGTAATTCCAGTGTTTTACAGGAATGAGTGCTTCTAAATATTCATATTTTTGAGTGGAATTAGAAAAGTAAGTCTAACACTTGATCTTTGAAACTGTACTGTATACCAAAATAAAACGTATTCAGTGCTCTGCTTGGAAGACTTTGAGCAAATTTCTGTCTTCATTTAAAAAGAATTGTTACTTCTGAACATTGAAATTAAGCTATACCTTTGAGATGATTTACTGTTAATCTGCTCTACGGCTATCCTGAAGAAAGGAAGCTTTTATAGTTGTGCTGTTACTTATTCTCCTTTTTAGCTAGTTTTTATCAGATATGAAGGACAAGGAGCTAAAAGTTCTGGAGGTCAATGAAAATTAGTAAATAGGTAAAGAGTAGTCACACTAACATTTTGAATTACTTGAAAAGCATTGAAGTGTGGCCTTGTGGGAATATTAAAACATTTAGAGTCCTTAGTTGAATACACTTTTTTCATCTTCTGGTACCCAGTATACCAGTCAACAATTCAATCTTGCATGGAGATGCTGTTAATGCAGTGTCCCAGAGAATAGCTTGCTACGGAAGAAGGGAGAAAAGTGACAATAGGATGATAGTGTCTCAAGGACTGGAGTTATGAAGAATATTTGGTGTTAGACAAGGAAAAGGTTTTTATAAAAGGCACATTTCTCAACAAATAGGCTCTTGCTTGTCTGTCTTGGGGTATAGGATTCACAGGACTGTCTGACCTGACATAGTGAGAACAACCCCAAATTAGGGAATAAGAAGAGATGAGTGGGAGAAGCTTGTTTCCTCTCAGGATACAGGCAGAGGAGAGTAACAACAGAAAGTATTAAAGGGGAAAATGGACAGCATTGAGAAGGAAAGTACTCCAGCTGATGACAAGAGTAATTGGATAAGTAATTGGTGAAAGGGCAGTTCTCTGGGCCAGAAAGCTGGGTGGGGCATTTGGGAAAAGTGCAATATTTGCACAGTAACGCAAGGAGTGTAGCCAGCAAACCAGAGGAACGAGAACTACTGGTGTAGGATGTAAGCCTGTATTGTACCTGTAACAAAAATCTGGCAAGATAGCAGAGTGACCTGAAACAGATATGGAAGGGCCTGAGTTATTTAGGACTGTCAAGAATAAGGACAAAGTGCTATGCAGTAAGTCTGTTGAGGCCAAAACACACTGGAAAAGTACAGTTCTGAAGTTTTGCTAGGAGCTTAATGTAGGCTATCAATGTGTGCATAGGGAAGTAATGCATTTGTGCAAAGATAGAGGAGAGACTAACTGCTGAGATATATACTGAAGAAATAATGCTACTACTGCTCATAGGACCTAGTCATACTCAGGAGTGATAACTTTCTTCTCTGGTCACTGAACTAACAAGAAGTGATGCAGCTTTGCATTTAGCAAATACCTTTAGATTTAGATGAGTAATCATGAAATGATTCAGTTAAATGCTTAATTAGAAGTTCTTAATTTCAATGAAGGCAGAACTAGTGAAGCCACCCGGACTTGTGAAAGTTGGGTAATTAAACCATCTTTGAATTTAAAGGGATAAAGTCTTTTTGAAGTGGTAAGAGAAAGCCTTTGAGAAAGGGCTCTGAATTTGGCTGGGAAACTTGTGTTTGAGCCTTTGAGCTGCTAATGGCACGCTGCAGTATGAGCAACATGAGGAGGATCAATAGCAGTGAATTAGGTTGTGGTGTTGGTGGCGGTGTGTTTCACTGCCTGCTTTCCTCTGTTGCTGTTTTCAAAGGCTGAATATAAAGCTATTGTAAGTTACTTGACACTGTTTGCTTAGTTCACCTTTTTGTTCCTGCTTTCATTCATGTTAGAACAAAATTCCTATTTAAGTAAAGAGAATCATTTGTTACAAAATTATTCTGGTAATCATGTGTTGTCCTAAGTATAGGAACCCCCTCTCCTCATCCCCCTTCCAAAACTTTTAAGTTTGTTGTTGTTGGGACCATTTCTTTCAATGCCATCCCTCCCTCCCCACAAGAACAATTAGGAAGCTCATTCATTCATTGACAGTCTGAAGAATTTTGTATTCAGAAGTTAGTGTTAGCCTAGTTGTTTTTCATTCTTATTGTCTCTTTTCAGAATAACCATTTTCCTTTAGGCCTGGAATTCCTTCCAGTACCAGCCGCAGTGTGTAAAGTGCTCTCCCCTCTGCCGTTCTCAGTGGGCATGCCAATATAGGGGGGATCTGCATCTGTGCTTGTCAGACAGATGAAGAGAAGGTGGGCCTTTCCCCTGCTCGCTACTGTTAGCATACAAAAATCTAATGCAGTCTTGTTAAGAAGCCAGCCATGAATGCTGCTCTTGAGCAACATCTTCATCTTGAGCAACATCTTCTTATTGTTCTTAAGGGCCCCTTAAGACAAAGTATTAGGAAGAAACAGGGACTTGTGCAGGTCCCTTGCCCCAGCATGGGGGCTGTATCATGTGTGGGGATACCTGCCGTATCATTCTGGGATCTGAAAGAGCTGCACGGAGCCAGCTGAAGGCATGGCCAGTAACTGCTAAAGCAGCAGCTGCGAACTGCCTTCTGCTTTTCATTTTGCCAAGGAGAGCTGGCTTGATGTGCAGTGGCTGTGAGCTCTTGTTCTCCCAGCAGTTCACCTGCTTCACCCCATCTCTTGTTTTTTCCTGTTACCCTTTCCTTTTATTTCCCTCTTAGGAGTTTCCAGATTGGATTATAACTTTTCCTCTGCTCCAGGAGAGTCAGCACTGCCAAAAATTTCAGATGGAGAAAGAAGACACTGCTTTAGGTGGTTGATACAATATGTTCTCCTTCACTAAATATCTTTATCTAACTGTCAATTTGCCTCATGGGCTTAGGAGCTTTAATATCCCTTCTAAAAACTGTTTCAGCCCCATTCTTTTTGTCAGTGTCCTTGCTTTGCTTAATCATGCATTGAGAATAGCATTTCCGTTGATTAGTCTGCCATTTCCTTCCTTAATTGAGTGTTTGCTCGTATATTAGGAAGTTCTATGAGCAGAGATTTGCAATCTGTTTTCTTTAAACTGGTTAGTGATTTATGTTCTTTCTAGCACGTCTCATTTTTAAGCTAAACAATAATGATAGTCCCTCATCTCTTCTGTACTTCCGAACCCTTACCAAACAGATGCGATGCAGCCTTTTATCCTTTTTTTTTGTGCTCAAGTTATAAGCTCTTTACTATCAGAGCAGTCTATTATTTTGAATAGTGCACAGCAGGAAGCTCTTGGTAGACGTTTATTTCTTAGCTTAACGCATTTGGTGATGTAAAGTATGATCTGAGAATAATCACCCCTTTTGGGGAACGTGCGAGTTGCATTTGATAAATTTTCAGGCACAAATTAGTTCAGTTCTGAAGTTCTCTCACCTCTCAAATTGTCAGATTGAATTAAATGCTTCCCATGCTCTTGGTAGGTAATATGCTAGACAATGAACCTCAAACTTCCTGTTCATGTAGATGTAAGAGAAAAGCTTCCAAGAAATGTGATTGACCCTCATAAGATTTCTATGTCTTGTGCTTTGTCTTGGTCTGAATAACACTGTAAAAATTACTAGTGACCAGTGGGTACTTGGAGTTCTTTCAATCATTCTTATTTCTGTAGAAACAGTGACCTGGCATGGCATGTAGTTTGAGTTAGTTGTTGATTGAGATAACGTCAGCCTTGTAGGGTTTTATTTGCAAAAATTCTGGGGCCACGCTTAGACTTTGTTTGCCTAAAAGAAGGACAAAAAATAGGAGAAGACTATCCATTTTTGGAGGTATATTTAAATGCATTGATATTACAATACTTTTCTTCTGACCATACTTGACAAAAAAGAGAGGAAAAAAAAGGAAAAAAAAAAGGGAAATTTTTAACTAGGCTATTGAAATGTCCTTGGGAACAAAGCAGCTTTCATATGCAAATTTTGAGAATCTGTGTTTCAAGGGAAGCAACTCAGATCTTGGAACAAATAAGGAATCACAAGGCCTTGCTGCACAAACAATTTGATATGGAGGCCGTTTTGAGTGGAGAGACGTGGTAGTATTTCCCCTTTGACAGAGTTGGAAATGCAAAGACTTGAGGTCACATGTTATGCTTTGAATGTTCACTCTGAAGCTTGCAGGAGATGTGACTACTCCGAGTGCTCCATGGTAGCATGTCCTACATAACAGCCTTAGTTCCTGATGAATTCAGTGGCGGGTGCAGCAGCTCAGCTCTTCTGCAGCCAGGCAAGTCTCATAGTACATCTGACCTTAGGAAGTGTTGGACTTACTTGTCTACTAGGGCACAGTAACTCTGGAAACCCCTAGAACCTCTGGAAACTGCCCTAATCCCAGTGTTCCCTCCCATAGGAATCCTGGCCCTATACTGGTCTCCATATCAGCCTAAGGTCCTAGCAGCCATTCTTTTAGCCTAGCTCCTTGGGTAAAAAGCAGACTTGGGGATGTGTGGCAGATGGCAGTTTCACTTCCAGCTCATCCAAACACTGTTTTCCATTCACGTTCCGTGTGTGCTCCTTGCAGTTTTGCTGCCTTTTTCTGGGGCTGGATGCAGGAGGCACTGAGGGCACCAGAAAGGAGCTTTCTGCTCTCCTTGTGTGCTTGGCTTCTGCAAACAAGGCGTAAAGTGTAAAGAAAGCAGCACCGTGACCCTGCGGACACAGGATGCGGAGTGATCTCTATGGATGTTCACAGTGAAGGGCTATGGAGAACTTAACTGAATTCTTTCCAGCCCATGTGGATAATGGGCAAACCTCTCTTTATTTTGGATGACTGCCTTTGTCTCCTCCTTTTTTTCCCCATGTTTTCAAAAGGAACAGTCCAACTATACCCATGGAACAAAAAAATTCTGCTGGATTTCAAAGCTGTGCTTTGCATTTGGAAGCCATGGCACTTGCTGCAGAGCAGTAGTTGATAGTGTGGGCAAAGCTCCTTTCAGTTTCTTTATTTCATTTTTATTCTAAAAATGGTTGAACTGTTGGGATTTAAATCTGAAAAGGTTACCCATATAACTAGAGTAGGAGTTACCCATCATGGTAAACTTTCCTTCCTGAATAAGGATTTTGACGTTTTAAATAACTGAAAATATAATTGTAATCGTAAGTATTGGGCAACTTTATTGATGTGTAGTGATACTACTTGAACTGTACTCGTGTTAGAGTGAATTAGTAACTGTTTATAATCTGCAAGTGATTAGAGGAATACCAGTTCTGATTTCACCCATTTGGAAATGGTGGATGGTCAAGGCTGCCATGCTATGGGGGCGGGCAGGATACAGGGAGTTGTACCGCACAGATCTCTCCTTGAACCTGTTTTTCCACTGCCTCCAACAACTAACAAACAAAATTCTTATCTGGCATAACTGTATTGAGTCAAAGAGGACCTAGAACTACCCTGACTCATAAATATGCTTCTGTTATTGCTTGTGATTGTAATATCTAGATAATGAAGGCTTTGAAAAATGGCTCTTTTTCCCCAAACTGATAGCTTTCAGAATATCGTGTGCACTCCAGCACTGAAATTGTTTGTTTTCCTTTATTGAAATGCTCTGAGGTGGTCAGATACTGAACTTCTGCTCTGGGTTGATATCCTAAAGCTTAATGCTTGACACTAATCATTTCTTAAAGACAAAATACTCTCATAAAGGGATCAAGAACAGCAAAGTATATAGAAAAATCTTCTGCAGCATATTGAAATAGTACAATAGAAAATACTCCGAAGTGCACCTCTGCCACCAGAATCTACAGCTGCTTTTCACTGCAGTCAAGGCTTGTTTAGCTTACTCTTTTTTTGCCCCAGAAAAAAATGTCATCTTTATTTAAGAGAAAATTTAAATCAAATAGAAGCAATTTAGTGTTTGAATGGCTCTGGTCCATGAAGCAAGGCACAACGTGGGGCTTAAGGGATAATTTGATCGAGGTGGCTGCTTTCCCTCCCCAGGTTTCTCGCGTGGCCCCTGCAGGTCTGCTGACCTTGTTATGTTATATAAGCCAGTCTTGTCGAGGGAACAAACGTCCTGCGTCCTGAGTGATGACCGATAACTTGCTTTGATCTGTGCTGTTATATATGAAAGCATCTGGGATAAATTCTGTCAATTTAAGATGTTATCTCAAGTAACCCTTTCTTAACCGTGTGCATCAAAGCCTGGGAACCTTTATTTTGTTCCTGGGGGAGTTAAATTGTTAAGTACTTGTAGGCGTTCTGTTTAGCCTTGGTGGGGCAGCCATATGGTGCTGCATCTGCTCTGCAGACTTCAGCAAGGCCAGTAATTCTTTCCTTACTGGTCCTTTAGTTTTAAAGTTACCATTTAATGCCTTGGGAAAAAATGGATCTTTCCATGCTGAGCTCAGTTCATCTTTGATAAAGTGTCATATGTTAAGTGTTATACTGAACACTGTAACGTAAATGCTGCTACTGAACCTTTAGGATTAACAACAGTCGAGTTCTAAAAGTAAAAATAGATCGGCCTTTTAAAGTAATACGAGCAGCCGGTGATCTTCATTGTCAAATTATTTTGCTATTTTGTGAGCTTTGGACCATGCAGTAACGTCTTTTCCAGACAAACTTTTTGCTTGTGATAAATAGTATATTCTAATACTGTATTACTGTAAGGCCACATGAGTATATTATGAGTAGCCTCTTCTTAATGGGTAATCTCTGCAGACATATAATTCCTGGGGTAATGTGATAATTAAATATCCCCTGCTTATCCCATTAACCCAGGGCAAACTCAGTATGCAAGAGCCAGATGAAGGCAAAACTGCAAAACTGCTCTGCTGTCTGGGCCCCAGCCAGGGCTGTTGGCTCACTGTGAGAAACTGCATTTCAAGGCATGTCCTGTTTGATGGTAGCACTGGGCATCTTTCCTCCCAGGCAAATAAACTGAGCAGCATCCAGTCTGATTTGGAATAACCATAAAATTGCTGGGCACCTCTTGCTTAGTAAGAATAGGCTGAAAGGAGGCGGTTCTATTGGCATAGTTCTGAAGAGAGTTTAAACAGATACTGTTAAACCCGCCGAAAAAGATGATGTAGCTGCACTTTATTTCAGTCCGTGACTGGATTATTTGCTTTAGCTAATCAGCTTTGAGTGCAAATAAGCTGATTTTGAAAATAGAAATGGTCTGCATAGCTCTGCCCTGGTTAAATTGTATTGCTTAAGTAACATCTAGTAGTATTAAATAAAAGACATGTCCAATGCCTGCTGCATTCTTTTTTTTTTTTTTTTTTTACTTTGGAGGGTTAACATTTGATTCTAGATTGATCTTTCTGTGTGTTCATTTTTGGTCTTTCTCAGTGGTTTCTTGCCACTAACACTCCAGCCTTCCTATTTAAAAATGTAAGTTTTTCTGGCTGAAGTCCATCCTGCAGTATTTACACCTGAGCTTATGTGCAGTTATTTATTCCTAGTAGGCATGTGGGATCCCCGATATCTTTTTAGAAGTTATCCTGCACTGTCTTAGTTCTGAGTTCTTGAGTCTAATGGTTTGTCACGTTCACCAGTTTGGGAGACCTAATAGCTGCATCAGGGTAGGTTTTAAAATATGTATATATATATTTTTTTTCCTTCCAGAAATTATAAGCTAATGTTTTCTGTAGTAGCTTTGGAATAATTGGAAAGAGTCGTTCTTCTGGCTGAAGATAGATTTCCTAGTCTCAGTTTTGTCCTAATCTCAGAGCATGTGTTGAAAAATATATTGTCGGAGTTGTCTCGGACACTTGTGTACCCAGCTGAGCAATGAAGCAGCTGGAGAGTGGGTAGCTCTGTAAAGCAGAGCACGTAAAATGCACTGGGAATGGTGCATTTGCTGTAACAACCAAAACAACAGATTTCAAGGTTTATGCACAACTGCAGTTGAAAATCTTGCAAAATATTTACCCTATCTTTCAAGGATCATATAATGGTTCTCTTGTTGGTGGCTCTCTTCAATTGTATGCATTTTTGTTATGTATACTGTACCTTACTATATAAAATGGCCAAGCTGTTGTCAGAGGGATTTATCCTTTTTCTTTTCTTCCATCCTTATTACCTATATTGTTTATCACATCTTTTTCTTGAATTGAAACCCAGGAAAAGCTCAGCACAGTGAAATCTTTCTTTACATCTCTCGCATATTGAATGTTCCTTCCTCCCCCTAGGCTTGACAGGGGACCAGCGAACGTACCACGGGAAGGAGAATGTCGACTCCAGGCACAATCGAGGAAGAGGAGGAGAGACGACCCGCTTTCACACCGTCAACGTGGCGCAGCCCGTCCGATTTAGCAGTAAGCTGCAGACTGAGGAATCACACCCATCTCCTTACTAATTAATTTACTATTTTAAGCTGCTTTTTTTTCCCAAAGAGAAATCAGTAGAATTTTTCACTTGCTATTTAGATTTGTCGTGGATTGCAGTATCTAGCCTGTTCTGGTAATCAGATTGTACAAGACAAAGCAATTCCAAAGTTGATATGGCAATATTTAAAAAGCACTGCAGGCTAACTCATTGAAACTGTATTGTCTTGTCTTAGTCTTGTGAGCAGCAGATCTTAAAAGCTCCCGTTGTTTTTTAAATATAAATGGCGAATGAAGAAATATGCTTAATTAAAAGACTTCAAATTAAATTTGTCTGTCTCTATTTGATGATAGAAACCACTGTTTCTAAGAGAGTCCCTAGTCTTGTGAACAGGGCCTCTTTTGAAGACTTGCCACAAACTTCATGAATTTAGTACCTTTCTTAGGTATTGTGCAAAGTGAATATTGCAAAAGCAGATGCTGAAATCATTTCATGTCGTCTTTAAGTTTCAACAGCCTGTCTCTGTGTTACTGTTACCCATCACCTCCAAGAATGCCAATCATCAGAGCCTGTGGGTCTGTTTCATCCAGAAATGTCTCAAAGCTTTTTGTTGCATATTCCCTTAGCTGAGAGAGAGCAGAGGGCGGTTCATTACATCACCTGCTTCTCCTTCAAATGCTTCTTAACGATCTGCTCTGCAGGGATGTTTTTCAAAGCAACCCTTGTCCCAGAACCCCCATCAAAAACAACCCTTGTCCCAGAACCCCCATCATCTCTGTCTATTGACTGTGAGAACAGAAGGATGCAAAAACTGCTGAGCGTGTTTGTGAAAAAAGTTGAGCTAGCCACCTGGCTGGAAAACATGGCCATTAAACAGCACACCTTCAGTTTTTGCTTCCTACTCTTAGCTGCTTGTTTTGACCTAAATTGATCAAATTAATTGGTTTTATAAAGATGGACAGGGAGGTATTTTCTACAGTAGATAATCAGTCTTAATTAAAGACTTTCAATGCTGTCACAATGCAGTGCAACATTGCTTGGAGTTGCAGCTTCTCAAATGTATTGTACTAACTTTCCTCACCCAAAAGCATAATTAAAGCTGGGATCTGTAATGCATGCACCTCTTACTGGTGATGTAAGGTATATGTAGTGCCTGTCGTGTATCCATATTCAAGTCATTAACCATTAAGGTGACATAAACTGATAAGAAAGCATTCCCTGGAGCGAGGATCCTAATTTGGGGGGAATGGTTTCCCTTTTATTCTTCATGTTTCCTAGGAAAGTGCCCAACAGGCTGGCACCACTACGAGGGCACCGCCAGCTGCTATAGAGTCTATTTAAATGGGGAGAACTACTGGGACGCAGTGCAGACATGTCAGCGGGTGAACGGATCCCTTGCCACCTTCACTGCAGACCAGGAGCTCAGGTTTATCCTGGCACAGGAGTGGGACTTGGAAGAAAAAGCATTTGGAAGGAAGGACCAGCGTAGGTGAGTAGGAAGGAACAGACAGAGATTGTTTATCAGATTGTTTCTATTAAGTGCCAGGAGTTCTGGAAAAGACTGAGATAATGAAATAAAGCCATTCTGAATTGTAGAGAACTATGTCAAATGTAGTTCCTTTATTTGCCCGTGGGGGATGTGTGTGTGTTTGTTGTTTTTCAGTCTTACATGGTGCCACACTGCTGAACCACCAGCAGGGCTTCAGTAATTGTTTATCTCTGTCTCTTAATTTCGATGGTTTAATCCTGAACATTCTGACATTATGTATGTGTGTTTATAAAATATGTGACTATCAGATACCGTTGTGTGGTTTCAGGCTCAAGATATTGAAATGCTTCCTTAACAACAGAACGCGATGCTGCTTATAGGTAGAAATAAAGGACATCCTGGTGCATTGTAGATATGAAAAAGCTTTTGGACCTTCTCCTTTATTACCCAATTGTTGTTTCTCTTTTTATATTGCCAGTGTATAGGCTGAGGTGTTAAGGAAAAGATCAGCAGAGTGTTTTAGAAGTTATAGCTTTACATAAAAATTGTAAGGTTCTATATAATAGATTTTAAATTCTGTTAGTGTATTTTTATCTTGTATTTTTAGAAGCCTTAACTGTTTTTATTTTAGGTTCTGGGTTGGATATCAATATGTCATCACCAATCGAAATCACTCGTTAGAAGGGCACTGGGAAGTGGCTTATAAAGGTAGGCCTGTGAAATTATTCCCTAGTTAAATGGCTCATGACAAATATCTTAACACTTGAATAGTATCTTTTAGAAGAATGTTTTTTTTTTTTTAGTCATGATGCTGCAGTAGAATAGGGGAACTACTTTGTTTTACAGTATTGAAATGGAAGAGTTTAATACTTTATGCACATGCTTCTTTTTCAAGTGTTGGAAATTTCCTACTTGTTCACAGTAAATGGCTTTAGGAACGATGAGTGTTTGCCATTTACTTGAGATTTCCCTTTGATTCAGCTGATAAAAAGCAAACCACTCTGAAGCTTCTCTTTTTATACGGTGAATGTCTGGTTTTACTGCTGATTCCTGATACTAATATTCCTGCAGAATGTGATAGGATATTTGATTGTTCCTTTTTTGTCTTTTTTTGCCTTTTTTGTGTGTGTTTTGGTAGCTTTCAATGCGATTCTTTTTAAAAATCATGGATTTTGACTAATTATGTGGAGACTTTTGACTTGAAAATATTACAATTTATTCAATTTGAATTGAGGTAATTTACTTAAATAGAGGGGGAAAAAAGCCTGCTCCCCAGAAATAACAACATCAAATTGTGTGAAGAACCAAATACAATTTCTTAGGCTTCATTGGTGCAGCTTATTCAGTTGCAGGGTAAGTAGCTCCCTCTGCTGAAAATGCAGATACATTTTTATGCATTTCAAAAAAACATTTCAGTTCAATGACTAGTTTAGCTCAAAATCCTTGTATGAACTCCTGTGTGTCTAAATGCTGTGCCAGTTTAGGATCACAGAAAATGTAAAACAAGGCTTTTCTTTATTGTCACTGTGAATTCCAGGGCAGCATTTGAAAGGTGGTATCAGTTGTCCTCTGTTCATAAAATGCTTGCAGTAATGAGAAATCTGTGAGCAAAACTGTCTATTATGCACAAATGTGTTGTCATGAGCAAGATTTTCCTAAGCAATTAAGTCTTGAAAATACTTCTCTTGCTACGTGAGAGCAGTAAAACCCAGATTAGCTTTTCAAGGACAGCACTGATTTTAATGTGCTGACAAGCACAAAATACTGATTTCTTCTGTCACTGAAGTAGAAAGATTTGACTCTCTACTAGGAGAAAATAGCTGCTTTTTGGGGAGGTAGCAGCATTTTCATTCAGTTCCTTAAGGTAAAGCACATAAGAAACATTTATTTTGACAACATAAGGAAGAGGAGGAAGGAAATAACTTCTAACAAGGTTCATACCTGACCTGGACAAAATTTTCTACAAATAGACTTTGTCTATTAAGTCCAAGAAAAGATACCCTTTAAAAAAGGACCGTTCTGTTCTCTTTGGGAAGTTGACTGCACTGCCACCTGCTGACAGTGTTTACAGCAGTAAAACATGCAGGAGTTATTTAAGTCAGTGTTCAAGCACTTAAGTCTGAAAAGTAGGTGTCTAGCATTATGAAATAGGCTAATTTTTGCAATTGCTATCTCCTGGTATCCCATTATTAATGTCAAGTCCTCAGCAACTTTGAATACCAGCTGATTAACAGTAAAACCAGATTCTGATCAGAAGCATAACTTAAAAAAAAAAAAAAAAAAGTAATGTCTTTGACATCTCTCGCAATATGAGGTATCGGACTGGATGACACTTCTGTATTGTTAAAAAGCACAAATTTTAAACAAGTTGCCAATACGAAAACGAGCATTAATTTTAAAATGGTTGCCCTTCTAATAAGAGAAGACTGGTAGTAAATGTAAGCGTGCAGAGTGGTTGTGTGCAGAAGTGATTTATTCTTTTCGTTTTTGTCTGGTTCTGTGCTCATGAGCTCATCTCTGCCATGAGAAAAATAATGGTATGCTCAGGCCTGACTGTATGGAACCCATCACAATACAAATTTTTGACACCCACATGAGTCGAAAGGACAAGCAGGACCTTCCACCATGAGGGAGCAGCAGTGGCAGTGCAGCCTTGTTCTCAGATCCGAGCTGAAAAGCACTGGTTTCAGACTGGTTAGTACTGCTCTGCACACACAAAGAGCAGCACGAGGCTGCAGGAGTGGCTCTGCAGTCCAGTGCCCAGGCTAGACACACGTGGGCCAAACATCTTTAGCAGCCCTAGCAAGTGCCTGGCACATGAAGCAGGAGATCCCGACGGCCTCTTGCTTTACCAGCATTGGCCAAGCACTCCGCTTGGTCACTGCTCCTTGTTCCTTTGCTACCAAGTCCAAGCTGGGTGTTGGTTGAGGGATCCATAAGAGTTGGCAAGTGAGCCTCATAGGACTCTAGAAAGAACTATTTGTGGAGATATTAAAACATACTCCTACAGTTGCAGGATGACAAAATTGTGCAGTACATTGAAAGCAGTAGCTTTTTCTGTCTGTGACTCATCCCTTCCCCCGGAGGAATGTTGCTAATGGAAGCTAAAGCTAGAGGACAGTAGCCTTGTAGTAGAGTTAGTGCACAGGAAGTAAGTGACATTACAGATGCTTTTAAAACTGCTTATACCAGTGCATCTTGTTTTAGGCTCTTCAGAAGTATTTCTGCCCCCTGACCCTATCTTTGGTACGGCTATGTCTGAAAATGAAAACGTTCTTTGTGCCCAGCTTCAGTGTTTCCATTTTCCTACCCTTCGGCATCATGGTTTACACAGCTGGTATGCTGAGAACTGCTATGAGAAATCCTCATTCCTCTGCAAAAGAAGTAAGTTGGGTTTAGTTCGGTGTGAGTGTTGCCTGTTTAACTATGTGTGTAACACATGTTACTTATCCTTCCTTGCTTGTGCCCAGAGCGTAAAGGAAAAAAATATAGAAGCCGTGTTTGATTTAAATAGCAACACCATATGGTTGGTTGCCAAGCATAGTACAGGTTTTAACAAAACAGCAGCTCTATTTAGTGTTTAAAGAACTTTATCACCCCCAAAATAAGATATTCTTAGAAAAAAGCCCATGGTAAAAACTATTTTAAAATTATTACATTTGATCATTTCTCACATGAAAATGAGGGAACAAATATTTCTGCTTTATATTGAGTACGCCAACTTCTCTTAAGTTCTTTCTAGCCATTAGTTAGAACTCTGGAAAAGAAAAAAATAAGCAGCTGTAGCTTCACAGTTAAAGGAGAAAAATTGTTCTCGTTCTGGGTCCTACTTCTCCTTCAAAATGTTGTATGTCACTCACTACGGGGGAAATGCTCTTTAGCAGTATTTTCAGGTAGTGTGCACGATCTCACTTAGCTGATGCTCCTCTGGAAAAAGGAGAAAAATAAATATATGTGGTGTTGCATTTTTATTCTAGTTCTTAGTGTTTCCAGATTGCTTTATCTTTAAAACAGGAAAAAGACTTACAGAATGGGAAGCGGGGCAGATGCAGCTTCTCTCTGACATTTAAAGATATAAAATTAGGAACAAAGGGTATTACTTTGTCTGTCTTGAGATTTAAACTCCTGGAGGCTTACATTGAAGGCCATGTGTTTAGACAAAACAGGACACTTTTGGTCATCTCCTTAGGACAGCGTTGTAAGGAAGGCAGTGTCTTTGCCAGACCCTTAACCCGAAGGAGAAAATATAAAATGTGTACATTGAGCAGAAGGAAGCTGCATGACGCTAACAAATTGGTGTGAGTTCAGTGCGGAGTCACTAAGATGAAGAGGGCTGGAGCACCTGCCCTGTGAGAGAGGCTGAGGGAGTTGGAGCTTTTCAGTCTGGAAAAGGGAAGGCTTTGAGGGGACCTGTTAGCCACTTGCCAGGAGGTTATCAAGAAGACTGAGTGAGGCTCTTTACAGCACTCAGCTCTTTACACCTCCTGAAGGGCAGAAGGTGAGAAACAACAGACCTAAGTTGAAAGGAGAGAGGCAAATGGATGTCAAAAGAAACTGTTTTACCATTGACCAAGCAGTGAAACAGGTTTCCAAAGAGGTTGTGCACCCTTGGTTCTTGGAGGTTTCCATGACCAAATTAGATAAGGCTCTGAACAGCCTGCTCTGACCTCATGAGGCCTCTTTCCAGCCTGAATGTTCCTATGGCTGTTGTGTATCCTCCCAGCTGGCCTGTTTTTAGGGCAGAGAGGGCAGCCAGCCCTCCATGAGCAGATGTTCCAGGTGAGCTGCAGATCACAAGCCTGTCTCCATTTCCCTGGCTTGATTTTTTTTCGAGTTCTGAGCCTTCCTTTAGGTCTGTGAGGAGGAAAGGATGATGCCCAAGTTTCCTACCTGGGGCAGAGATCCAGATGTAGCTATGGCAGCAGGAAGAGCTACTGCCCACCTTCCCTTCTCAGACATGTCCCCTAAGAAGATCATTAGGGTCTGGTACAGAGAAGAGCCAGCTGTTTTCTGTCCATTTGTCTCCCCCTGCCCAGTCAGAGGAGCTGTAGTAGGCGTGACAGTAAAGCTTATCCTTCTCAGACTACTTAGTTGGCTATGTTAATCTCTATCTTGGAAGGAGTGCCTGAAAGCATTGTCACTTCCAGGAAGGAATGCCTGAAAGCCTTGTCACTTCCACTAAACGCTTACTCTGTCCATTTCAAGTACCAAATCATCCTTGCTTGGCTCCAGACTATGCATTTATCTCCCTCCCTCCCTTGAGATCCCTTCTCAAAGTTGCTTTAATGTAGAAGCATGACACTTAACCAATCTTCTGTCTGTATTTGCAAGCCACTTTACAGATCAAACTGGGTTTCGGTCTGGTAGACACGTAGGTGCTGATGTGCATTTCTCTTCTAGGCCAGACCTGCGTTGATATCAAAGACAACATTGTTGATGAAGGCTACTATTTCACTCCGAAAGGGGACGACCCCTGCTTGAGCTGCACGTGTCACAACGGGGAACCCGAGATGTGTGTGGCCGCTTTGTGTGAGCGGCCCCAGGGCTGTCAGCAGTATCGCAAAGACCCAAAGGAGTGCTGCAAATTTACGTGCTTAGACCCAGGTAAGACAAGTGCTACAGTTTTGTCAAGGGAAGCGAGTTTAGCACTCAACTTGGTTGTCTTGGGGTATAACTTTGGGAAGATCTTTTAATTCCTAGACATTGTTGGTCACAAGCCCTGTGTGGGGGGGAAAAAAAGCTCAACTCACAAGAAATAAAACACTTCAGACTGTTGCTAGGAATAGTCATCTTTAAGACTACTTATATAAAAGAGGCAGTAGCTTATCCTCTGTATGGAGGCTGACAGTAGTGTGGATTTTTCATAGAGCAACTGGCTCACTTGCTTTGTCATGCTTAATTGTCATGGAAATAAAATATTTTTGCTTGAGCATTACTAAGAAGTACCTTTTTGGGGGACATGAGTTTTTCTTTATGTCTGAGTGTCTTTGCAAGGATCTCAGGGTAGTACATTTTATAAATTGTTACTATAACTCTCTATAATAGGGGTGTGTGACCTTGCTCTTTGGATTTAGCATCTCAGTCTAACTTCTTGTTTTGGATCAATAACATTTATGTTGATTCTTCCCTGTTCTGTTTGTCAGTTGCTATTTGGAGAGGTCAATATTTGACTTTTATTTCTCTGTAAAAAGACTGGCAAAAAAGAAATGCTATATAGTATTGGGAATTTCCTGGTACTTCAAAATAATCTTTTTAAAAGCACCTAAGAAGCTGTTTTCATAAGGAAACCATCATTTAGAACTGCTTACAATATGGGAACCGTGGAAGGTCACTTTTATTTCTGTTCCAAAAAGAGGGTGCTTCAAACTTGCAGCCCTTCTCGTCCATGTTTTAACTACATGTGTTAATGATTAAAGACCACTAGCTGCTCCTAGCTCTGTCATTCTCATTCATTCTGAAGGTTGTGCTTTGCACATTTTTGTAGCTATTGTTGCAAGCTAGTTGAGAGAATAGTGGGGCAAAGGAGTTTTCTTTCCGCTCAGCAGAGTTTATCAGTAGAGATAAAACTTTGTGTTCACTTAGTTTTTTAATCTTCTGAAACAATGTCAGCAAAGCATCAGCCAACAGACAGGATAAGATGACCCAGGATAACCCCGTGCAGTGTTCTTTAATCCTTGCTTATGCTGTGGGTCTTAACTATTTCATGAATACTGATTTGAAGAGTATATTTTAGCACAGTCTTTCCAATCCCTAAGCTGCTCTTTCTATCCTGATACTAAATGACTGTTTTATGCTTTTTTTTCTGATCTGTTCTGATTTTTCTTATTAACAACTTTGAGAGAAGAAGCTTCAAGCAGTTGGCAAACCTCCGTTGTCATATAGTCAGTTCAATTGGTGATAAATAGTGAAATTTTTAAATGAACCATTTCAGTGAATTTATAAGTATCCGGAAGGGTTGTTTATAAATGACTATTCCAGCTGACAAAAAATGAATTACTTTCTTTAATCAGCACGTATTTGTCCAATTCTTATGTATATCTTCCCTAAACTGTTGCAAAGGAAAGAAAATTGTTTACTAATCAACAGTAAGTGAATTAATCGCCTAAGGAGAGACTGGGGAAAATAAATCCTTCTCTTGGGTTTGTAGGTAATCAGCTTTTGCTGTGCGAGTGGGTGAGCAGCAATTATAATTGAATATAGAATATTACTCAAGGACTTGGTAGTAGGGTGGTTTCTCAGTGGTAGGAGTAAGCTTAGTAATCATAGCTATACTGTCCTGAAAGACTTATTTTAATCTAACTGAAGATGAATAATACAGGAAAGGAAAATCTTTCATGCATAGTGCTGAAACCAAGGTAATCTGCCTTTTGCCTCTCCATAGCTGTGGTAGAAATGATTTTCTCCTCCATGGCACTTGTTCGGGCAGATCTCACTCTCATTTCTGAAAATAAAATGAAGTATTTTCAGGAAGCAGGCAGTGCAGGGGGTTCTCTAGTGACTGAGGTGGTGAAGTTGCAAGGTATTACTGTTACCTTGAGTGTAAAACAGGCGTTCTGAAACAATCTATATTTATTTAGCTTGGAAGCCTCTGCAATGAAGATTTATCATGTTATGTTGTTTTGTTGTTCTGTTTTTTAATCTAAAACTTTTTTTGGGAAACAGTTTATCTAACCAAACAAATGAACTGTTAGGATCTGGGCTGACAACAGGGTGATAGAGGCCAACAGGTCCACAAAGTGTTGGGGAATTGCAGTTTACCTGGTTTAAAGAGAATATGTGCAAAGGCAGCAAGAGGCCAGGTTTCTGTTCAAAAGACTGTATCATTCTTAACTGTGTGCATTTGACTTTTATTAATAAATCATTTTGTTTAAGGCAGTTTACTGGAGCTGCTTGGTGGTGATTACAAAGCCAGCATTGCTCTTACGTGTGCTGGGTTGGTGGGTTACTATATGACTGCATCAGTTGAAGCTTGCCAATAAAAGTTACTAAAAGACTTGCCAGCATAGAGGTGTTTGTCTAATCTGGCTGCATTTGAGAGGTTATTACATTAGTTCTGTGTGTAGTACATAATTGCTTTACCTGTTGCCAAGAATGTGTTATGTAATAAATACCAGCTGCTAGCCATGTATCTCTAACCATGCATAAATCGGGTGGGTTTCTATTTTTAGCAGCTGTAGGAAGCTGGTATTTACAGCTTGTGCGCTGCTCTCAGCTTGCTTTTGTAAAGGGATATTTTGATGCAGCTTTTGGTGCTGCTTGCTAGAGTAAAGGGAAAGCTCTCCCGTGGCCACGGTGGACATGGGAAAGGAGAGGGATTGGGATCCATCCTGGAAGCCTATGCCCTGGCAGTGGTTCAGGAGCTGCTGCTGCTGCTTGTGTGACTGTGGTGATGTAGTTCAGCTGCCTCGTCCCTTCCTGACCCACACCTAGCCTGGCTTTTTTTTAAGACAAAACAGTCATTTTTTATTACCTTTTGTGCAGAGTATTTGTGTGTGTGCTACTTGAGCAGATCAAGTGTTACTGGTTGAATTGCAATTAATAAATACCTTTCATGTCTGGCATTGATGGAATTGCTAATGTGACAGCAGCAGCTTTCCAAATGTTAGATCTGATAGCTATAGAGGAGAGCTGCAAATCCTAACCTCTTTGATCTGCTTCATGTTCAGCCACTTGTTTGCAGTAGGGTTCTAGGAAAATAATTTAATTCCTCTTTACCTTAATCTCCTCATTCCCTGAAGGATCATCACGCTGATCACCCTTTTAAGGCATCTTAGTTCCTAATATTTTAATGTATTGCCAATTTGGAAACAACAAACGGAATTAGGATGACTATGGCTTGATGATAATGAGAATGTTTAGAGATATCTTTAGTCAGTTGAAATAGTTCAGATGTCCGAAGTCATCTTAACCCTACCTTTATTTCCCTGGCGCTGGCAGAAAAACATGAAGAAAAACCCGTCCTGAACAGTAGTAACAGGCATTTTAATCTTTCTTGTAACAGATGGCAACAGTTTGTTTGACTCGATGGCCAGTGGAATGCGCCTGATAGTGAGCTGCATTTCCTCCTTTCTCATCCTCTCTCTGCTGCTCTTCATGGTCCACCGGCTGCGCCAGAGGCGGAGGGAGCGCATAGAGTCCTTGATAGGAGCAAATTGTAAGTAGTCTGTGTCTGTAACGAGTCTTGGTATTAGCTGTGTGTGAATTTGCTTCAGGATGAAGAAAGTGCAAGGAGTGTATAAGTTATTACCAAGTCTGTGCAGAGAGCATCTCTGGCAGTTTGGTTGTAAATGTTATTAAGAGCTGTGTCAAATGTAGCTCTGTGGTGGCTGTCCGATCTGGTCATGATGTGGTTCTCTGAACACTTATCTTGCTCTCTGAACACTTATGCTTATTGTTGATGGGTTGATGTGTAGAAAGTTGAGAAATGTCGTGGTCTTGTGTGACTGCCCATGCCTGAATCTGTACGTCTTGATATGCTCTTCAAACTTCAACTCCTTTTTTAGCCGCCACTGGGAAGAGTTTGTTGCTTGTATGCAGTCCAAAGGTAGAATGTCTTCAGTGTATGGACATTGTACGTGATCTGAAGAGCTTAGATTCAAAGTTAGATGTGATGCAGGACCAGTGTTGGGCACTGTTGTGTAACTACAATGAGTTGACTTGAACGGGTTATGCAGGCTTCCTGAGTGCTGCCTTTTTTAGGTCGTCATGAGATGTGAGTTCTTGGAGTGTGAAAGTGGAGAAAAGTGTCAAGATCTGCCTTAGCTCAAGGAAGAAAATACGGGATCAAGTTTTTTATTTCTCCTTTTCCTTACTCCTGAAATAGTGCACCATTTTAACTTGGGCCGCAGGATGCCTGGCTTTGATTATGGTCCAGATGGTTTTGGAACCGGCCTTACTCCGCTGCACCTTTCAGATGACGGCGAAGGCGGGGCGTTCCATTTCCACGATCCGCCTCCGCCTTACACCGCGTACAAGTATCCAGATATTCAGCATCCAGATGACCCGCCACCTCCTTATGAGGCTTCTGTCAATCCAGACAGTATCATTTGTTCTACTCCAGGTATACAGGCAGTCATTTCTCTCTTCTTGCTGTTTTCCAGTTTGATTTGAGGGTAGATAATTTGTTCTGAGTTGTGATTATACGTGCTTTAGTGACTAGGGTGGGAAAACATATTCCACAATACAGTCTGTAATTGCTGTGGTGGACAAGTCTTAAATCTTAAGACGGATCATCAGGTTTATTTTCTTTTGATAAAGATTCTTTTGGATGGTCTAAGTTGAAAGAGGAACCTATAATTCAAGCACTATAACTCTTAGATTTACCTGTTTTGAAGTATTAACTTGCATGAGTTATCTGGTTTCTGCTATGCTGGTACCTTGTTTGTCCTTTTGGAGACAGGTTTTTAGAGTAGAACACGCCTAAGCGCAGGAGTTTTCAAAGAAAAAATATCCAGCTGCTTCTCTATTCCTCTCCCCCATCACAAAAATTGGCCAAAAATACATTTTTTAATGATTCACCCCATACTCTTCAGTTTTGCAGCTGCAGCATTAACATACTGTAATAATCATGCCAGTTTGGGTGGTTTTAAAGCAGTGCATCTCACAAGATAAGCAAGACTGATTAGTGCAAGTATCCTATTTATATATCAAAATTCTCTCTGCTACACATTTTTCTCTTTTGCAATGTCATCTCTGTATACAGTAATACAAAAATAGGAAAAATCCAGGACTTCCAGAATTACAGATAGTAAATCTACTTCGGAATGTAAAAAAAAAAAAAAAAAAAAAAANAAAAAAAAAAAAAAAAGCACTTCATGCTCTGATTCTGCTTGTTTTCCTCCTTTGCAGATGGAGTTCTTCCTCAGACAGTGCAGAGCAATCCTCCATCCCTAGGAAACTGTGATGTATCCCCACAGCTCACAGAGGAATCGCTTCCTCCCTCAGTTGGTCCTTCTCCAGTAGAGCTGGAAGACTCTGCTGACAGCAGCACCTTTCTTGTCCCCCCTGATACTCCTCTAGGTGAAAACACACCGGCAGAAACTCTTACGGGCAGCCGTCACAGCCACTGTTCTCTCAATACCATTGTATAAAGGAATAAAAAGCTGACTGCTGGTCAGGAATAGTTTTAGCAACTGTTTGCACAGACAAACACTAATCCATGGTTTGAACTTCGGAAGGAATCTCCACTTTGGTTTTGGACACTGCTTTTATGTTCTAGTTTAGGATTGTGCCTCTCGTTTTTTGGCTGTCGTTATTCATTAACTAATTGATTTGTCGTGTAAATATGGATTGTATAAACTGCTCTTTTTTTTCTTTTTTTCTTTTTTTTTCCATTGGCAATGGGAAAGAGAGCAGAGAATTCCTTTGACTTCTAAGGAGAGGAAGAATATGGGTAGTTTTTTCCTAACCTGAGAGGAAACAAAAATCTACATCAGAAAGGAGCTGCTTGGATTTGGCTGGATACCACTGGACCCAGGGAACAGACAACGGAAAAGGAGGGTGGGGACAGTCACTGTTTAATCATTTGCTTTCTCTCTTGCTTGCGTGCTACACTTGGGAAAAGCTGAACCACGAGGGAAGAGGCTGGTGCCTGTGTTGTGAATGGGGAACACTGAGAGCTCAAGCACGTGCCACCAAATAAGAGCTGCAGAGGGTAGAAGAGCTGTGGGTGTTGAGTGGTCCCGCTGCCTCAGAGCACCCCAGGGACTGGAGGATAAGTGATGCACGCACTGCGTGAGTTTGTCTTCTCGTGGAAGCGGGTGCTAAGAAAACCAGGATTTGCAGTTATCTGTTATTGGTTGCTACAAAATCTTGTATTGTCAGGTGAACTTCTGGCCCCATAAAGAAAAGTGAGGCTGTGTAATGTGTATGTCCCTTCAGTAGGATGCTCATATGTGTTGGGTAGTGTTGTAGGGAAGAGACAGACAGGACTGTGTTAGCTTTCCAGCTGACACAATCCAGCTTCACTGTAGTAAGCCCCTGCTTGTTAAAATCCCATTGGGAAGATAGAGGGGTTTTTCTTTATGGTTTAAGTCCTTTACAGTGAACAGTTGCCCAAGACTGGCCTGGATAAAGAGACCATTTCCTTGCTTTACTTAGTGCATGCTATTTTTAGCATGCCTGTTCCTTCCTCTCCATTTCACTTCTTTACAGTTCTTGCACATGACGTTTAAAACCAGCGATGAACGTGTGCTATTCATAATGGTCAATTCTGATTGGACTCAGGTTCCGTATTCTAATGTCATAAATTGTCAACCCTATTCTAGAAATTCTTCCCAGTCCCTTCTTCTCTTCCTCCTGCTGAACAAACATTTATCCAGGCCCAATGATGGGTTAGAATGAGGTCAGTACACTTAAATCAGTGAAGTGGTTTCTTTCACTGTGATTGCCATCTTAAATTTTCCCCTCAAATTGAGCTCTTTGAACTAGCCACGTTAATTTATATATAACAAAATGAGTTTCATTTACTCCCTTAGTAAACCCACAGTCAAGCACTGTTGGCTTTGCTAATGACTGCAGAGTAATCTTTACAAGTGATGTTAATTTTAAGTGGGATTAGAGAATACAAATATTGCCCTCCCCCTGCTCCCTCCCGTCCTCCTCTTGCCTCTGGCTTTCCCTGACTTACTGTAGCAGTCAGCAGATGAGATAAAATATAAGGATTAAAAGGAATTTGTAAAGAGTGCCCCTTGTGAGTGTTCTCCTATTACCTTATGAAAGGTACACAGGCCTAGAGGGACAGGAAGAAAACACAGCAAGGGGGTGTGTATGTGAATTATTTTTCTAGTACTGATGAGAAATCATACTTGTATGACAAGTCCTAACCCACTTTTGTGGTTTCCCAGTGCAGCTGACTTGTTTTCCCCGTCGAATATGCTGCTACTTTCTATCCTGTGTCTCGCCTATAGGCTTGTGCTGTACGTGGGGATCGGTCTTGACAGTTCAACTCCTTTTGCTCAGAAAACTGTGACTTTGGTTATTGAGCTCCTATCCAGTGTCTTGGCACTCAGACACGTGCCAGCAGTCCTGAAGCCGCGGGCGAGTGTGGATCCCAGTTTGGGGGCTCTTCCGCCGCGGCGCCTTCCCGTCCGCTCGGCCGCCTGGCTCCCATGGGAATGACGCAGACCGAGGAGCCCCTCTCCGCCCCGTGGATCTGTTGCCGTCTCCTCCTCTTGAGTTCAAGTCCTGGTCTGATGAAGTGGATGGATAGCAGTAGTGAGAACCATGCATACAAATCGAGCATTTCTGAAGTCTGAAAATAAAGCGGGTTTTGTGCATTTTTGAGCACATTCATACGTTTTATACATTGTATGTACTGATTTTTCTTTTAGTTTTTATAGGTACGAATGTGTGTGTGCGTGTGTGTGTTTCTGGGTGGTGATATATATAAATATATATATACTGTAGATGGTACCCTTTGTGCTGCGTCCAGCTAGGTGAAGCCAAGCACTGGGTTATATAAAACTAGGCTCTTAGAGTTAATACTTCTCTCAAGCTGGCTGCACTCTGTTGTAGGACAGGATGTGATAGTGTACACTTGAGTAGGATGCAAAGTCTACGCTACTACGGTCCATTCCTGAAAAATATTTTGTTAGCAGTGCAAAATCTAGAAAACTTCTAATTCTTTTAAAGCCAGAAGGAATATTCATTCTTTGTAGTATCCTAGCGCAATAACAAGAAGCCTCTTGGCTTGGTTTAGTCTCTAAAGCTGTGTTTTGTGGTTAAGGTGAACAGATACCTTACCTCACCCATCTCATCAGACTGCAGGAATCTGTTCGATTTTTTTTTTATTATTTTCAGTTATGTGGTGAATTTTTTTGAAAATAAGCTCTTACAATTTGCAGCTTCATGATGGCTCTTGGTTGTAGTTATTTCAAATGGAGGCTTCTCTGTAGAAGTCTTGGTGTAATATGTTTTTCGTAGCTTCTGAGCCTTTCCCAGTTCAGTGTTGGCTCAGAGGCTGGTGATTTTTTCCCTATCCTTCATCTTGGCTAAACAAGGGAGGTTTTGCCTTGAACAGAGCAGCTCGCTGAGTGCAGCCATCCTTTACCTCTGAGCTTTTAATTTGGCAATAAAACTGTCATTTTCCCACCATTACCTTTTTAACATAGATTTTTTTCCACGCAGAGGATACTCTTTTAGAGCAAGAGCCTTTGTTTCAGAAAATGTCACAACTGCTACGACTTCAGGACAAACTGGGGAAGAGGTATTTTTCTCGAGAGCAGTTGACTTCTCAGCAAGACTTCGTAGCCCTTGGCAAGGCAACTGAGTTGTGATTGTGAACACCAGCTACAGAGGTTTGCTTGCCCGAGGAAGACCTTTCCATTTTCCTTGTCATTATATTGATGGGATTTTTGGAGCTGTATTTAGTGCATTGATTTCTTACCCCGTCCCCCAACACCGTTTGCTTCCCTGGATGTTTTTCTCAAATCCTGGTGCATCTCAAGTCTTCCTCCCACACAGTGGAGGAGATCCCATCTCCTAAGCATTCCTAGCAGCCCAAATGAGCCAAGTGCACATTTCCCTTCAGATATTCTCAACTGCAATTACTTGTATAAGGTTTTAAATCTGCTCTGTGCAGGGCTAGTGCATTCCATTGTGGCCTCCATCAAAACTCTCCCCCAAGTCCCTTTCCTCTCTACGTCCTGTGGTGCCATATTGAGATGTCTGCTGTTCCTTCCAGAACAGTTCTGGGTATTCACTGCTATCAGTGCTCGCAGTGATACATGGACACAGTCTCACAGCAGCCTCTAATTTCCTTTTTTTTTATTAGATGAGTTATAAAATATCGTAATGTTAGGCAGTGGGTTTAATTCTATGCTAGAAGGTCAAAATTGTCATTCAGATGTACAAAGAACATGTCTGCATAATAATGTTCAGTCTAGTCTATTTTTGAGCCTCAGACTATTCCTCTTTCCATTCAAGACAGGACACTGATCTAGAAGAAAAATGGATTAGATATTTTTTCCTGAAGGTTTAGTCTTGTGCTCTCTGCTCAGACAGGATTCCTAGTGAAGTCATTGGGTTCTCTGTCTGAGAGAAGATCACAGGATTGCCTTGTCAAACGTCTTTGAAGTTTTACTTGGGAAGAAAATGTTTTTGTGACCAGTAATTGCTCCTCTTTCCCTGTCTAATATTAAGTGAATCTGAAGGTGTTTTTAAAATGTTTTTCATCTTTTAGATGTGGATTTTCAGTGGCAAAGCACTGAAGTTTTAATGTCATCTCATGCGATTTGTAGCTTGTGTTTCTTCTTTTTTTTCAACTTCAGAGAATTCTTATTTTATCATCCGCTAAGAAACATGAAGTGTATCCAGAAATTTCCTTTCAGATTTCCCAATTTGCAAGTTGGGAGCTGGAATCTCCAACTGGAGCAGATCGATACAGAGGAGGCAAGTCAAAGCTTCCAAACGGAGTATGCGCCTCTTATAAAACAGAGGCATTCAGCAGTCAAGATCTGCTTCCTCCAGCATTATTCTGCCTCGCCTGCCTGCAGAATACCTACATATACGTGCATATGAACACGTATGTACAATACGGTACAACATAGCTTTAATCTCCCAGTATTGTGCACCTTGAAAGCTGCGCGGGGCGGAGATGCCGCCCGTGCCGGGCGCAGGGCCCTGCCGCTCCGTAACCTGAATGTCCGACTTGCCTTTGCCTGGGGGCTGCGAGAGAGAATGAGACCTTCTGAATGAGACCTTCTGCTTTTGACCTTCTCCTGGAAAGTGATTTTAGCCAGCGCTGCATTTGCAGGCTTCTCCCGTGTAGTTGGTTTGTGACTGCAGTTAACTGTGGCAGTGTATAAAAGATTTTGATATTCTGTGAAATACCATGTAGAATTTAAATTTGATACTATAATAACTCAGTCCCTGTGACATTGGTTTTTGTTTTAACTTCTTTCCTTGGGGTTGACACTAATCTATTTTTTTTCTCCTCAAGATGCTGTGAGAAACATTTCATCCAAATGCCAAATAAATTGTGTTCTGTAAGAGAAATGGCCTGCTCTAATGTCTGGTTTTTAATGCTTTTTTTTTTCTTTCTTAATAGATGTGGTTCGTCAGTGTGCAAGAAGTCCTGTTGTATCAGGCTTCTAAACTGTGATCTTCCAGAAAGATCAAGAGATGCGTTTAAGCTCAGACAGGGAGGCTGCAGAAGTCCCTTCAGCAGTGGAATTTAAGTATGTTCCTGTTGTTTGAAGATTGTACTTTGGTATAAAACCAAGACTACCAAGTCCAGGCAGACGGATTTTCTGGCTGGCACAGTCTGTCCTGCAGGAGGTGGGCAGTAGATGGCGTTCCTGCTCATCCCGGGATTGAGCTGGTCTTACATTACAGGCTGTTTCAGTCTCCCTCTGGAGATGTGGGGAAAAGAGGAGCGGGCCTGTGTGCAGCTGGGCAGCCAGGTGTGCAGCCTCAGAGTCCCCATTTGCCCGTGACAAGGTGGTAGCTGGTGCTGTTTGTCATGGCAAGGTGGTACCTGGTGCTGCTCATCATGAAAGGACCTGCAGCTCTAAAGTATTTAAAGCTGGTTGGGGAACAGTGGGGAACTTTATTTAACTATTTAAACTATTGTGCTGATTAATAGGGTGAGCTTATGTATGCATCTCTCAGATTGTGTTGGTAGCAGTGGAAGTTAAAGCAGCACCAAATGCAAGGTAGTTTGGTTGCAGCAAGCTGTGCCCCCGAGTGCTGCTTTGGACCCTGCTCTGAAGGTTGCTTCTCGTCTCTTATGTGCTTGTTACTCTTGGCAAAACTCCTGTGGAGTGTGAATCCTGGTTTGTGCACCTGCAAGGTGCAGGTTATGGGCTTGGTTTAGCCAAAGTGTGGGTCAGGGGCTGCCTCTGCCCCAGGCACGGGAAGGGTCGGCGGCTCCTCGTGGCCAGCCCTGGGCCTCGCCTGATCCCCACGCTTGGGAGTGGAAGGAGTTTGCTCGTTTCCGAGCTGGGTTTGCTGTGTGTGAGTCCCGGGAGCAGCGCGAGGCCATCCTGCCGTGCGCCGCGGGCGCGGGATGCGCTCAGCCTTGACTGCCGGCCAGCGCGTGCGGTCATCGGCGCTGCCGCAGCTCCGGCCTCCTGTCCCTGCTCCGCCGCTGCCAACGCTCCCGCTGGCTCCTGCCGGCTTCCCCACCTGGACCGGAGCTCCCTCCCTGCAGGCAGGAGCTGTCCAGCCGAGGACAGGGACCGCAGCCCTTCCCTCCGCGCCAGTCCTGCTGGGAGATGAAGAAGTCCCTGCAGCAGCAGGACGGGGAGCGCGGGGCCGCCCGGTCTGCCCACGTCAGCCCTGCGCCGCTCAGCTAGATGCGGATCAGACATCACCAGCGCTCCTGTGGCCCCTCGGGGCTGGGGATGATGCCGCGCTCCTCAGGAGCAGCCAGGCAGGTTTGGCCGGGCTGGGCGCTCCGAGCGGCGCTGCAGTGCCGCTGTGATCCCAGCGCAGCTCCCGTGGGACACGTGGCTGCTCGCAGCCATCCACGCTGCGCTCAAACCAAGCAGCGACCAGCGCCGAGGCGCAGATACCGCACAGGAGCACGGCCAGGCAGCCCTCTCTTTCAGGTGGTTACCTGTTAAAAAAGCATCTTTCAAGGGGGTTAACTAGCACCCGCGCTCCCTGTGGTCTGGGTGCCGTGCGGCGCCCATCGGGTGCGCTCCAGGGCCGCGGTGACGCGGGCGGCAGCAGCTGCGCCGCGCGGGGCGACGTCGCTGACGGCCGGCGGCGGAGGGAGCCCCGGCGGGACCGCGGCCCTGGAGCGGACACGGCCCCGCGCAGCTGCGGCCACAGTGCGCCCTTTGTGCGGGACCCGCTGCAGGCTCTGCCGCCCGGTGCGCGCAGGCTGAGCGGTGTGCGGTTCTTGGTGCTGCCGCAGCTGCTAATGCTCTCCCGAAGAGCTTGCTATTATTTTTCTTATTATGGAGAGCGAAGACCAAGGAGAATCGGGAGTAGCCAGAGCGGTTACTCTGCTTGAACTTTTCTCCGTGCTGCCTCTGGGTTTCTGGACACCCCCAACCCTCCGTACACACTAGCCCGGGCCGTCCGTGCCGCGCTGCTGCTCTCTGGCTGGCCCAGTCCTTGGGTGGCCCCTGGTGCTGCCTGCTCGGGTCCCTGGGGCTGGACCACACGCAGGTGATGCAGGACTTGTCTCCTGGAGCTGTTCTCGGCACCTCCAATGTGCGGCACCTACCAGCGCTTCCCGACGGAGCCTGTGGCTGGGGCTTCCCGGCAGGGTGGCACCGTGCCCACCTCGGATCAATGGATCCGACTTAAGCAGCTATTTTTAATTTTCAAGGAGGTGGTTCTTTAACATATTTATTATTTTTTTTTTAAGCTCTAATGGCCGTTGCCCTTCCTGCCAGTGAACACTTCTACCAAAGGGAACCTCGTCCTCCCTGAGGCGGGAGGAGGCTCCCAGCCTCCCTCTCCAAGGACGCTGTGGAGCCGCAGGACTCCCTGCGAGGTCTTTGCCACCGTCACAGCAAACCCAGCAGGAAGGACCCAGCAGCTCTTCAAGGGTTTCATCCGGATCTTCCAGACCCCCGAGGCCGGGTTGCCCATCTCTTAAGTAGCATCTCTTGTCTTTGCCTGTTTGTCGAGAGTCTTTGTGTGCACGTCCAGAGTGGGTCAGAGAGAGCTCTTGGGGCCTGAAGAAGCAGGTGCAGGTGCTCCCTGCTCAGAAAGAGTGGGTGAGGGTGGGAAGCGGCACGTCTGTGCTGTCAGAGACTGTAACCCTCCCTTTTGCTCTCTTTTCAGGTTGCTCCAGAGCGATGATCACAGTCCTCTGCAAAGTGCATCATTGGCAGAGCAGGTGCCAAACCGGACTGATGGCCGCGACGCAGAGCAGCTCCGGGGAGCTCTGCCCCGTCGCCCTCCTCGCCGCTGCCGAAACGCGCACCCTGCTTCCTGCGGTGCCTGCCGGAGCTGCTCTGTGCGGGGCACCCGGACCCTGCCAGGGCGACCGGACCCTCCACGACGAAGCGCAGCCCGGCCAGGGTGCTTCCTGGCCGAAGTGCCCGTGTGAGGCTGCTTCCTGCAGCCTTGTGCCCCTGCCAGCTTTATTTGTGTTGGCAAGTTCTGTGCCACGCTCCGAGCCAGGAACTGAGCTCCGACAGGAGCAGCAGAGGACCGAGCGGGTCCTGTGGCCTCCTTTCTCATCCCCGCCTGCAGCGTGGATATTTTCGGATAACGTGGCAACAGCACGATCCAGTGTTTTCATGCCCCCTTTTCCCAGCCCACCTGCGGCAGGAGGAGAACTGCAGCTCCGAGGTGAGGGATGGGTGAGGCTCCCATGGGGCCTGCCCGGTTGTGGGGGTGCAAAGTGGAGCTGCTCAGTGATGGTCCCTGGTGAGCAAGGAGCCCCGCATGGGTGTCCAAGGGCAGGAGATGCCCCGTGCTGAGCTCTTGCAGAGGCAGTGGTGCGAGCGGCGGGCACGGTCGGTGCTCGTGTCCCCTTTGGCTGCCTCGTGCTTCCACTGACTTGGAACCACCCAGGGTGTGTGGGTGGCAACGGCCCCTCTGCGGTTCCTGCCACCCTGAGCAGCTGGGTGGCTCCTTCAGCACCATTCCTGGATCTCCAAGTCACTTCACCTCCCTGAGCACCCGGCCAGCTCTGCGCCTTCCGAGGGCATAGCTGTGGGATGCCGAGTGACCGGAGCGGGGCTGGCGCATGGCATGAATGTGGCAACGGTGAGTCCTTCCTCACCAAGTCCTTCCTTGCTCCGTTTGCCTGGGAAGCGCCTGGTCCTTCGTGGCTGCTGTGGGCAGCCCCAGGCCGGGGACATCCCGCAATGGCCGTGGGGATGCAGCCTGTCCATGGGGCTGGGCTGAGTGGGGGGACAGCGGGCAGAGCCACCCACCAGCCTCCTGGTGCTCCCCATGGCTTTAGTTTTGGAATCACATCCTGGCTGAGAGCTGTCGGCATCACGGGCTGGCCAAGGTCTGCTCCCCACTGCTGGGCTTGGCCATCACGGTGGCTGATGTCACCACGAGCCAGGTGTCACCGAGTCCTCCGCTCCACATTGCCCTCCGCTTCTGCCCCTGTCAGGCCTTGCAGCCCCCAGATCCATGGGGATGGCTGGGGCTGGGGCGCCGGACCGGGACCAGCTGCAGCTCCCAGCGAGGATGGGCGGGAGTATCCCGGTATCTGGGAGCATCCCGGGATCTGCATCCAGGGAGGGCGGCGGCGGATCCTGCTCCGGGCAGGTGTCCCGGCGCGGGGAGGGGCTGGCTCCGGCGCTCCCCGCTAGCAGGCGAGGAGTTAAAAACTCGGCCGTGTGATGAATATTTAACAGCAGCGCCCAGGCTGGAGCTGAGGATTTCTCCGGCTGGCGGCTGGCAGCGCGGAGCCCTCCCGGGCACTGCGCCGGGGCCGGCATCGCGCCCGGCACCATGGGGGCACCGCGGCTGGCCCTGACTTTCCTCACGCTGCCCCTCGTGGTGCGGGCGGCCGCTGGAGGTGAGTGGGTGGGTTAGGGGGCAGCCGGGGGGCTGGCGGGTGCTGTGCCAGAGGGGAGCCGGGGTTGCTGCACGGGGATGGCGGCACCATCCCGGGTTGTTCCCGTCCTCTTCGGACAGGCCGTGGGCTGGCCGGGGTCTGTGGTCCAGCATGGGAGCTGTGACCTGCCCTCTGCACAGGACGTCCCTGTCCTGCTGCAGCACTGGGGTCCTGCGTGACCTGCTCCACTCCTGGATCCAAAGGGGCACGTGCACGTCTGGGACATGAGTCTGTGTGTGCAGGAGATGCCCGGGCTGGACGGCCCCTATGAGCCGGTGGGGATGCAGGTGCTCGGGGCTCCGGCTTGTCCTCGCCCCCAGAGTCACGGGAGGGAGAAGTTTGGGTGCTCCGGGCCAGGCTGCCAGCGCTGCTGTGGTTGGTGCTTCCTGGTACCCAGCTATGCCCAGGGATGCTCCTGTGCTGTGGGAGCAGTGCAAGAAGGCGACTGGCTTTCCCAGAGCTCTGCTTCCCCTCGCACAGCCAGAACGCTGCTTCCAAGCCAGGTCTGCTCCAGCCGGCGCGCCGCTGCACCCCAGCTCGGGGCCGCGCTCCCCCCTGGGGGCAGTGGGTGCAGAGGTGGCGGGACAGGCGCTGCGCGGGGGCAGCAGCCGGACTCGTGTCCCAGTGGGTGTTCGTGGGCTGCAATGGAGAGGGGGGGTGGGTCCTTGCAGGGTCTGGGAGGGGCAGCTGCAGCGCAGAGGGGACAGGCTGAGGCCCCAAGTGTGGCGGTGAGCGCGGAGGGGAGGGCAGCGCGTGGGTTTGGGCCGCGCCGGAGCCGGCGCTGAGCGAGCGCTGCCGCCCGCGGAGCCGCTCCGCGGATCCCTGCCGGCCCCAGCAGTGCGGCGGGAGCAGCGCCCGCCGGCCCGGCCGCGTGGGCCCCGCGCTGCCCACGGCCCCGCTCGCCACCGCGGCTGCCCCCGCCGGCCACGCGCTCCCACGGGAGGGTTTGGCAGCCGCCGCATCCAGCACGGGGGCCGGGAGCAGGGCCGGGGCCGCTCGAGCCGAGCTGCGGAGAGGCCGGGGGCGGTTGGGGAGGCCGGGCAGGGGCTGCTGGGCAGAGTCCCGGCAGGTTCCCCTGGGGAGAGCAGACGGGGCGGCGGGCAGGGAGCGAGCAGGCTGGACGGCAGCGCTGGGAACAGCGGGGGCAGGAGCCACCGGCCGGTCCCTGGTGCCGGGGGACACTGAGAGCAGGGACAGGCACCGATGGGACCAGCACAGCCCTTGCCACAGGGTCCCGGCGTGCGGCTCAGGTGGTCGTGAGCTCTCACCTGGGGTGTTTGCACTGCTGGAGGCAGCACGGGGCTGTTTGCGATGCCCCTGTGGTGCTGGCTGCCGACGGGCCCCCCTTCACCCCCCAGCCCTGTGCAGGCCAGCGGGGAGCAGGCGGCACCGCGGGGTTTTGCAGCGCAGACTCCTCTCACTGGAGCTCTCCTCTCCCCGCAGGGCAGTGGTGCTACGACTCGCAGGACCCCAAGTGCGGTGAGTGCTGCGTCGCGGGGACCTCCTCAGCACCCCACGGCCACGGCTCGCTCTGCCCCTGCGTGTCTCGTGTGAATCCCCCAGCATTCCGGTTTCCTGCAGGGAAGTGCCCCTGTGGATGGGCCGGGTGCCACGAGGGCTGGTGGCAAATGCACCGCAGGGACGAGGCCTTGGGGAAGGGCGAGTGGGACCACACGGTGATGCAAAGGTGGTGATGGCCACGGCGCTGTGTGGCAACCTCCGCTCGCTCACACACAAACCCAACCACATCCCCGGAGCCCGAGGAGCAGCTCGGCTCAGCTCCCACCTCCAGCGAGGGTCAGCTCCAGGATGTTCCCGGGGACAGGATTGGCCTCTGCAGAGTTGGCTGAAGCAGATAAAAATCTGCATTTAGCACTTGCCCTCAGCAACACCCACAATGTCAACGGGTAGGAGGGAGGCAGCCAGGCATCCCTGCAGCATGGGGAAGGACGGTGCCGTTTTGGGAGCCAAAAGGAGCCTTCTCATTGCTGCTGGAAAAATAAGTGTCCTCCCTGCAATACAGCAGCTGGGTGCTGCTTGGTCTTGAAGCATGCAAATAGCTTGTAAAAGGTTAATTAAGGCTCAATGAGCAGGTAATTAGCTGTGACGGTCCACCTGTTTTATAGCTCCTTGGTGCATGTACACATGTCCAGCACCCGGGGTGCGTGACCTCTGTCTGAAGAGCATTAGTGGTTGGGCACGACTTGCTGCTCGCGGCTGAAGAGCCGGCCGGGGCTGGCCGTTCGGCAGAGGCCGGGTGGGCAGCAAGGGCACGTTTGTGCCCAAGGAGGCAGGGCAGCGCTCAGCAAGAGCGGCAGCTGGTTTGCGGGGCCGGGGGCGCTCCGTGCAGGACGGTCCCCGTGCCCTCCCTTTGCTCCTCTGCAGCTCCTGGCCGTCCCCTCCTCACGGGCACTCGGTTCGGTTCCATTCGCCCCCCTTAGAGAAGCGACCTCCCCACAGCGGCCAGGCAGGCACAGCCCCTCTGTCAGCCCAGGCTTGCAGAGCCGGCTGTGATGACCATTTAAGAGGGAGGATTAAGGAAGTCTCCGTGTGCCGGTGCTGCGGGGCGGGAAGCAGCTCCCGTGGGATGTCTGGAGCGCGGGATGGATGTCGGGGAGCTCTGGAGCCAGCGGTGCCGACCCCGCAGGCCCCAGCCACTGGAAGGAGCTGAAGGCCACCTGCGGGGGCAGCCAGCAGTCACCCATCGACATCGAGCGGCGCCGGCTCCGCAGGGACGGCCGCCTCGGCGACATCCTCTTCGAGGGCTACGACCAGGCCCCGCCGGGCAAGTGGCGGCTCACGAATGACGGGCACACGGGTGCGTCCCGGCGCCTGCCGAGGCTCCAACCCGGGGCCTGGGCGCTCCTTTCCTTATCCTGCATGAAGGGGATGTGCACGATCCTGGTTATTAACCCGGGAGAGGGGGGCAGCGGCCGCAGGGAGCTGCAGCGCGCGGCTCTGCGCGTGTCCCCGCGCCGCTCACGCCGGCGCTCCCGCAGTGCTGCTGGGCCTGCAGGGCGCCGCGGCGGCCGAGCACATCAGCATCCGCGGCGGGGGCCTGCCCGGCACCTACCGGGCGCTGCAGCTCCACTTCCACTGGGGCAGCCCGGCGGGCAACGGCTCCGAGCACACCCTCGACGGGCGCCAGTTCCCCATGGAGGTAGGTGGGAGCCTTGCTGCTGGGGCTGCAAACGCACCCTCAGGCTCAGAGCGGGGTTGGTGGCTCGTGGCGTTGGCACTTGCTGCAGCCGCTTGCCCAACGTTGCCCCACTCCCCTTCGAGGGAGCTCCCTTGCTTTGAAGAGCTTTGATCTTCCCAAGGCTGCCGTGGGAGCGGCAAATCCGCTCAGACCCACGCTTGGGATTTCCCAAGCGAGGCCGGCTCTGTGTCTCCACGTCTGCCTGGGGCGACGTGGGCACCCCGACCTTGCCAACTTGCTGGGGGGCACTGAGCACCTGCGCTCAGCCCCTCTGTTCCCTCCCCAGCTGCACATCGTCCACATCAACGTCAACTACCGGACCCTCGCAGAGGCCAAGGGGCACCCGAACGGGCTGGCTGTGCTCGGCTTCTTCTTCACGGTAGGTGCTGGGTGGGCTGGGAGCTCCAGGGCAGCCCCTCTGTGCCCCTTGCACACCGGAGCCCGCCGGGTACAGGGGTGCTGGGGCCACATGCGCTCAGCTCAGCGCTGCCAGGAGCGCATGGGGCTGCATCTACCCGTCCCCAGGGAAAACCTCCTGCTTGTCTAAACCAGCGTGGGAAATGCCCTGAGGATTTGCAGCAGAGCTGCCCAGGCTGCACAGGTCTTCCTGGGAAATGCTGGTTTTGGGGAGCTTCCTGTGGGAACGTGCTTGTTGCTGGTGCCAGGGAGAGGCTTCTTGCTAGGGGCCAGTGAGAAAGTGTCACGGCCAAGGTGGTCAGGGCGGCTTGGCCTCCTGCCCCCAGGGGCACAATGCTCCTGCTTTGTAGCAGCACAACCCTGCCCCAAAGCTCTTGGGTCTGCCCCAGAAAAGGCTCTAAATCCTTGGGCTTCGTATGGCTGCACAGCCAGGAAGGCTTCTTAGCGCAGGAGCTGGCGGTGGCCTCGGCAGGGAGCGGTGCTGAAGTCCCGTGTATCCCCTGCATGTCCTGCACGGTGGGGACCTGCACAGTGGCGGCTGCTCCGTGCAAGCACTGACCCCTTGCTGCTCTCCTCGGCAGGTCTCAGACACGGATAACTCCAACTACAACACCATCGTGGCTGCTCTGAGGAACGTGTCCCACCAGGGTGAGGCGTCCTCAGCTGCTCCGTGCCAGGAGGGAGAAAGCCCAGGCTGGGGATGCCAGTCGTGATGGTGGGACTCACGGTGCTGATTCCTGCTGTCTCCGTAGGGGACTCAGTGGATCTGGCCTCCACCTTCCCCCTGAGCAACCTGCTGCCGCACGCCGGGCAGCTCTCCAAGTACTACCGCTACCAGGGCTCCCTGACCACCCCCGACTGCAGCGAGGTCGTCGTCTGGACCGTGTTCGAGGAGCCCGTGGCCGTGAGCCGGGCACAGGTAACGGTGCGGGACCGTTACCCAGGCTCTGCTTCCCTGGGGAGAGCCTGGCATGGAGAGCGGCTGGGTCAGGGCTGGGGATGGCGCTGGGGGAACCCTCCTCTGGCTGAAGTGCTGCTTGCTGGGGGGCTGCGCATGGGCTGGTACCTCGCGCAGCCCCTTCCCCTGCCCTTCTCCTTGTCTCTGAGCAGCAGCGCAAAGAGAGCTCTGCACTAAAGCTCTCGGTGCGCAGGCTGCTTGTGCAAGGGTTGGGTGGTGGAAGTGCCCATGGCACCGAGGAGCCCTGCATGGGTCCGCGAGTGATGCCCGCATGCCAGGCGCCCCACAGAAAGCATGGGGCCAAACCTGGGTGAAAGCAACACCCCGAAATGCCTCTGGGGCTAAACCTGGGTGATGGCAGCTCCCCAAAATGCCTCCAGGGCTGTGCACATGGTGGGGGTTGGAACCATGATGCGGGTTGGGGGCAGCTCACTCCTTCTACCTGAAGTGACTGTCCGGTCCTTCCTCTCCCTCCTCCTCCTCCTCCGCAGCTGGGGGCGTTCGTGAGCACCGTGCACTTCCCAGCCGCCGGCTCCGCGCCCCTCAAAATGACCAACAACTTCCGTCCGCCGCAGCCCCTGCACGGCCGCCGGGTCCGGGCCTCGCGCCTCGCCAGCGCCAGCGGCGCCGCCCGGGGCGCCCGCCCGCTGCCCTGGGCCCTGCTGCTGCTGCTGCCGCTGCCCCTGCTGGGCGCGCGGCCCTCGTAGCGCCCGGCGCCGCGCTGAGCACGCGCAGCGGTGCGAGGCTGGAGCGAGGCAGGACGTGGGTGCGAGGCTGGAGCACGAAGCGCTGCTGCGCGGCCGCAATAAACCCGAGGTCCTTGCGCTGTGCCTGGGCGTCGCGGGCGTTTTGTTGCCTTTCCCTCGGGCCCGGCAGGGTTTGGCAGCGGGAGGGAGGCAGCGGGTGCTGCAAGATGCTGCCCGGCAGTGGCTGCGGGGGCCACTGTGTCCCCGGGTGGGTTGTTGTTTCCTCAGAGCTAGTTTTAGACCTGGGTTGACTGAAACATGGTGAAAATGTACTGATGTTGATGGAGAGAAATAATTAAGAGCAGAGTTTAACCTGCAGGCACGCGTATGGGAAAGGCCAGAGGTGGCACCTCTGTGTCCAGGGGCAGAGCAGGCGCTGGGCGCCAACACGGGCGCCAAACCCCTGGGTGCCGTGGGGCAGCCTCCCGCCCAGGCTGTCCCCGCAGCCTCCAGCCGGCACTCGCTGGCAGCGGCGACCTTGGAGTGGGCCCGTGGCTGCCCGACCTTCCCGCAAGGGCTTCATTAGTGCTGGTAATGGCCCCCACGGCCTCCCCGCTGCTGGTGCAGCTCGTTACAGCCAGGACTCGGTACTGCAGGGGCCGGGGCGGGAGCAAGGCCAAGCCGAGCTCCTCAAGGAGCAACTCAAGGAGGCCAAGCCCGTGGGTGCAAGCGGGAGGCGTTGGAGCCACAACGAAGCTCCTCAAGGAGGCCGAGTCCATGGGTGCAAGCAGGAGGTGCTGGAACCCCAGCCCAGTGGGAACTGCGGTGCCCACGACCAGGCATCGGCTCTGCGATGGGACCCGCACGGTGTTGGCTCTGCCATGTGGTGGCTGTGTCTGGCTTATGGCCCGACGTTTCTTTTCACCTGGGCTTTGCTTTTTGACTGCTCCACCACATCCATCGTTTCCTCCCTGCTTTGTGCTGTGGTTTTGACTGGAGCTTCCTCAGGGGCTCCATCCCTGAGAAACCCTGTATCCATGGTCTGATAGAAACCACGGCTGTCACCGGCAGCCCCTAGCACAGGGCCTGGCTGGGCCTCCTGAGGGCACACCATGGCCCTTAAGGTCCCTGGGCCCCTCACCAGGGCGAGTCACTGATGGGGGACACCCCAGGGCACCTGCCTTGAACATAGAGACCCCCAGGCTGGGCTGGGAAGGGCCATCACCTCAACCCTCACGTTCCTGCATCCCCACATCCCACCCAGCTTCACTGCAGCACAACTCGATATGGAGGCTATGTCTCTTCAGCTGGAGCCCAACAAGGCAGCAGCTTTGGGTCCCGTGACACGGTGTTGGTAGCCACTGTCCTGCCCCCTCTCAGATCCAGCACAGCTGGGAGTTCTGCGGGCACCGCTCGTGCTAAGCATGGATGACCAGAAGGTGTCTCTGCAGCCTAAGAGTTGCTCTGGCCAAGCCTGGGGAGATGTTGGCCCAGGGTGTCACCACGTGGTGGCATCTCTCTCTCCGTTTCCTTTCTGTGTCCTCTCTTGTCTCCATAGAATCATAGAATCATTATTGTTAGAAAAGTCCTTCATGATTGTAGAGTCCAACCATAAACCCTTTGACACCATACCTGCGAAACCATGTCCCTAAGTACCTCATCTATGCATTTCTTCAACAGTTCTAGGGACAGTGACTCCACCACTTTCCTGGGCAGCCTGTTTCAGTGCTTGACCACTCTGTCCATGTAGATTTCCTAATATCCAGCCTGAACCTCCTTGGCACAACTTGAGGCTGTTTCCTCTTTTCCTAGGGGTAGTTATTTTGGAGAAGAGACCGACTTCCACCTCCCTACAAGCTCCTTTCAGGTAGTTGTAGAGAGCAATGAGCCCTTCTAGGAGGAGCTGCCAAAGGCTCGGTTGCTGCTGCTGCAGCCCGATAGTGCACATGCCGATGCCCCGGGGCTGCGCGCCTTGGCCTGGGGCACCAGCAGGTCCCCACTCAGCGTGGTGGCAGCCCCAGGGGCACGAGAGCCGCTGTCCGGGAGCGCTCGGGAGCTGCTGCTGGCAGAGCAAGAGCTGCAGGGAACCTCCTCCCTCTTGGCTGTCAACACCGGCTGCATTTCCAGGCTGGGTGCCGTGAAGGGAACTGGGCGCTGGGCAGAATCTGGGAGCAGTGGGATGAGCCAGGCCAAGGGGGCTGCTGCAAACCTGCGGTGCCTTTTCCTCCTGCCCCAGGGGAGGCCCGAGCCGCTCCAGCTCATGGAGGTGCCCGTGTCCTGGTGGCACCTCTGCTTCCCTGGCAGCACCTGGGCTGCTTTTGCTCAGCGGGGGGATGCGGAGGTTCCTCGAGCTCCCTCGTTCCCACCTCCCCAAGCATGGGGGTGCCCTGCACTCCCTGGATGTCCCGCAGAAATGGGAAAACCCTCCGTGCTTTCCTGACGCGCACTGCAAGGGTGGCACGTGGCATCAGGAGCCGCAGTCCTGAGCGCTGTTGCCTTGGGTGCTCCCTGTGAGCTCAGCTGCATCCCTTCCAACTTGGGGAGCTGCTGGAGACCCTCACTGCGCTGCTGCCCCCACCAGCCCCTTCCAGGGCTGTGCTGGCTCCGGCTCCCCTGCCCCTTGTGCAGCTGTGTGGCACCACCACCAGTCCAAGCGACCCTGCAAAGTGGCCCAAAACAGGGCTGAAAAGGGGCCTTTGCTCCTTCCCGCCGTGTCCCTGCAGGCGGGGCTGCCGACAGGGGGATACTGTCTTTGTCACGTGCTGGAAAATTTTAGTTTTTGGCGCGAAACGGGCTCTAGGGAAAGGTGCCCGTGGGCTATTTCAAGGCCCCAGCTGGTGTTTGTCCAAGCTGGCCGCCTGTTTGCCCCGGGATATAATTTTAGCCAAGGCGAACTGTTGTTTTGTCCTCCTGGCGCTGCAGTCAGTGCATCCAGCCGGGGCCGAGCGCGGGTCCGGGCACGAGGGTGGCAGCGCGGGAGCCCACAATGGCGCCAACGCTCTGGGGCAGCTACTGGACAAGCAGAGCCTGCAAAATCCAGGGAAATCCCTTTTTGCTGGTGCTATTGGTCAAAAAGCATTAACCTCCATTGGTTAATACGGAGGTTCCCAGGTTGACTGAGGAGCCCAGTGCAGCCCGAAGCACCTTGTGCCCTGCTCACTGTTTCTGCCCTCAGAGCCTCCCTCGCCTGCGCTCGGCACTTCTGCGTCATTTCCTCGGTAGCCCTTTCTCAGCACTCAGACTGAAAGCTCGGGAGTCTTGAGCAGCCATGAAACCTAAGTGTATTTTCAAGAAAAGTGGTTCAAATGCTGGTGTAAAACGCATGTCTTAGTGCAGTGCATGTCATGCAAGCTGCTTTTTACACCAGATGCAAGTAGAAAACAAGGGTTTTCTGCTTTTCCTGGGCAGGCATGAAGGTCTGGTGAGAGCTCTGTGTTTTCAATATTCTGAACTCAAGATAAAAAAATATTTTTTTGAGAGGTTCAAAGCTGCTTATTTTTTATTTGGCTCAGCTTGTTTACAGCTTGTTTATGACCCTGAGCTTTTATATTTGGTGCTGTTTACCTCCACAGAGGCCTTGCATGTGTTTTTATGCAACATAAATAAAATATCATCGCAAACAGTTAGTCCTGCAGCTCCGCTCATCCAGCAAGTTTCCGCCGTCCAGCTGTGAAACGTGGCAGTTGCTGTTTTGACACAGCTATGCAAATGCCTCTCTCTGCCAGCCTGCTGTATCGCTCAGGTAATGTTTTCAAGCAAAGCAGCATGAAACTTTTATTTATTTCATTTAATTACCTCTCATGTACAGCATGATTAAAAAAAATTCCTGCCGGGCACCTTTTGCAGGTGCTGCTCAGATTCCGGATGGTGCTTGCACCATCATGGGGATGTTGAGAGTGGGAATGGGCACAACGTGTATTTTTTTTCCCCCAAGATTCAGAGGTTTGGATTCTGCTCTGGGTTTTGGAGCTCTCAGGCTTGCCCTATCCATTATGTTGTTCGGTTTTGGGCCCCTCGCTACAAGAAAGACATTGAGATGTTGGAGATGCCCAAAGAGGAGGTAGTAGTGAGGCAAGGGTTGGCCGTTTCTCCAAAGTAACTACCCCTGGGACAAGAGGAAATGGCCTCAAGTTGTGTCAGGGGAGGTTCGTGTTAGATGTTAGGAGAAAATCTGCACACAGAAAGAACAGTCGAGCATTGGAACAGGCTGCCCAAGGAAGCGGTGCAGTCACTGTCCCCGACAGCGTTCAAGAAAGGTGTAGACGAAGCACTTAGGGACATGGTTTAGCAGGAGGTGATGGTGCTAATGTGTTTACAAATGGAGTCGATGATCTTCAAGGTCTTTTCTAACCATAGTGATTCCATGACTGCAGGCCGAGCGGAGCCGCATGTCCCCCCTGCTCTGGGCCTCGCTCACCAGCTCCAGCACCGCGGGGCCACCACCATATTGCTGTGGAAAGGGGTGACGGTGACTTGCCCACGATGGGGGCTCCATGGCAGACCCGGGGGGCTCCCAGAGCTCAGGGACAGCGGCCCAGGCCCTGCTGTGTACCCGCTCCGGGCCACGTCAGCGCCCGCGGGAGAGGGTTTCGCTTCCCTTTCTCGGGCGCTCGGGGCCGCGCGTGTTCGGCTCCGATTGGGCCGGCGTGGGGTAAATTTAGCCTGGGGACGCCCCGGCACGGCGGCCCAGCTGCGCGGGGCCCAGCTGGGAAGGGCTGGGGTGGGTTTTTCACCGTTTCGATGTCGTTCTCAATCAGGGAAACGCTGCCCGGCCTGTTCCTGGAAGTCGCGGGCCCAGAAATGGCCCTTGCTCCCTCCTGGCCCCGCTGCGGCCTCAGCGTGGCCGCCGAGGTGCCCTGTGCGGCGAGGGACCCAGCTCCCCTCGCTGGCACCGTGAGGGCCGTGTGGAGGGTGACGCGGGCCAGGGCGGCAGCTGCTCTGGATGGTGCAGGGCCAACATGGTCCCTCTGCACCCCCAAAGCAAATGTGGGGCCTCGTCCCCACAAGGACAAGGTGGGACA